ATTTTCATATATCCTAATAATTATATCTCTTCAATTAGATCAAAAGCACTATTATATCCTAATATATATTTAACTTGAATCTCTGTCCACAATAATAAAAAAAAATACAAAAAAGATTAAAATAAAAGATGAAAAATATTAAAATAAATAACACAATAATAAGCATATTTTTCTAAAAGCAAATCTTTCAAATGGTTTTGGATAAGTTTGGTAAAATATATAAGTTAAATAAGTAAAAAATTGAAAAAATGACTTTGAAGAAGGAGAAGGATAATTTTGTCATAAAAATTGGATGACTTAGTTTTGTGAAATTCATTTGAAAATTTCACTTATTTTTATGGATTCGGTGTATTCGGTGTAGTTATCTTCAATTCTCTAGGATTGAATTCTTAGAATCGACTTTTTTTTTTTCATTCCAAACAAAAAAACATATGTCATATAAGTTCAATAATTTGCTTGCTACAATCATCATCATTAATTTTAAGTGTATATATATATATATATATATAATCATCATCATTAATATATTAATGTGTATACTATATATATATATACCTAATATATTATATATACAAACACACAGCTACTCACTATTACGGGCAGGTGGCCGGCGTTTCCCGTAGGTTCCACGAAAACTAAGTAACTGGAACCGGAACCCGAAAATCCGAAAATTTCGATCCGGTTATACGGTTGAGAACTGAACGATTCGGGTTTCCTAGATAACGAAAGTCATCCAGAAATCAACAGTTCTTCTGTATTTTCACCGACAATTACGACTATTTCACGGAACCGATTTTCTGGCAACATCGCAATAATTTTCAAATTCTGGTAAATTCTTGAAGATCTCAGGTTCTTCTAATTGTTTAATAAATTTCGTGAGAAGTTATTTGTAAAAAAACAATTACATCTAAAAATTTAAATTAAAAAATGCTTCCAATATAAAATTTCTTACATTTTTTTAAAAGACCTTGAACTTAAAAATTATTATTTTTTAAAAGTTAATGTTCAAGTTATTTGTAAAAAAAATACATCTAAAAAATTAAAAAATGCTTCAATTAAATTTATTTTTTTAAAGACTTGAACTTAATTATTTTTTTTTAAAAAAGTTATTCAACTGAATTTATTTTTTGTTTAAAAAAGTTTTAACATAATTAAAAAAAAAAGGGCTTGAACTTAATTTTTTTTTGAAAAAAAAAAAAAAGTTGCCTATGTATCCTTTTGGGGTTTAAAGGAATCAAAACCCACATAATTCTTACTTACCTTATATCAATTTCACCCCTTTTACCTTAGTCGCTATTTGCACCACCAGTTGATGTTCCCGTTGAGGATCCATCGTATAAATCATATAAATCTTCATTTTCTTTCAAATTTTCTTGTGCTCTTAGTTCGGCCTTGCTCTAATCATCCACGCATGATTTTGCTTTTAATGAATCGGGTGTCATATGAGATCGTGTTTCATCAAGTATATTTCCTCATTGACTAAAAGCTTGTTCAACCGCAAAGTGGAGACTGGAGCTGCTAAAACTTGTTTTGCAATTAAAGAAAGTATTGGAAAAGTATTGGCGTGACGACTCCACCCTAAAATTAGAAAATTAGTATCTGCATAATCATCACCAAACTCAAAAGAAGTGGTTGGATAATTATCAAATTCAGAAAAAGAACTGGATTCTCTTGGTCTTTTTTGTCTTTGTAAAACCTGGGCTTTGAAAATTACCAAACACTACTTACCCATTTGCGTGTTGGAAAATTGGGATTGTAATTAATTTATGATTGAGAAGGAAATTGTTGAATATTAGATTGAGAAGAATTAGAAGTAGATGAACTAGAAAATTGAACAAATTCATTATATAATTGCATAATATTTTGTCTTACTTCATGCAATACTACATTTATATTAACACTATCTTCTATATTAAGATTTAATACTTCATAATAAATAGTCAAATATTCAGATAAAACATCAATTCTACATCTAGGATAAAATACAATAGCAACAAGATAAAATATATTTTTAAAATAAGATAATCATTTTTTTTTCATTGAAAAAATACAATCTTTTAATATACAATCATTTTCAAATTCTTGGAGTGCACTAATAATATTAATACAAACAATATTAATACACAGGTAAAAATAAATGAGATGTGGGATAATAAACCCCACTAAATTTATAGGTAGCATCATTAAAAATTTTTAAAATATCTAAAATTTTTGTACAAATAATTTTGTGGATATAAATTAATTTCTTCAATTTTATTAGCAACAAAAATGCATAATAATTCTTTATATGAAAAAGACTCGTTTAATAATTCATATGTTGAATTCCAACGAGTTGGGAAATCCCTTGGAAAACGTTTTTGGTCTTTTATTATTTTCCTTATAAAATTTAGCCCAACTTTTCATTTTTCATCACTTGGGATGTCCTATAAACTATGAAATAGCTTTTATTAAGTGAGAAATAAAAGGATTTCAAGAATTTTAAACTATCTTGTATACATAAATTTTAAAACATAGCCATGCACATCTTATATGGAAAAAATTTTTACTCCACCAATATTTGGGTTCACCAAATATTTTTAAGTCAATAATTGATTTATATTAGCAGAAGCATATCAAAATGAATGAAAAAAGTTTTTATTTGTCAACTTTGCTATTCATCTAAAATTAAACAATTTATTCTATTAAATATTATTATACAGTATGTTTATCATCAAAAACACGAAATTGCAATAATTCTTTTTTGAATGTTCAAATCATTATCAATCCAATGACGTGTAATGCCCATTTATAAGAATGCCCATTTCCAAATGATCACTCCAAATATCACAACAAATTGAAAAGGAATTTTCATTGCAGAAAAATAAAAGCTCTAACTTCTTTTTTCCTTTATCGTATATAAAGAAATAATAGTTCATTTACACAGATTTCTTGCGCACTCTTTTAAGCAGAAGGATTTAAAAACTTTGCACCAACAATATTAAAATCTACTTTTTCTCACAAAAAACTTAAAAAAATGTTCCATAGAAATCATTTTTGCTAATTACTTCTTTTTGTATTTTTTCAGAAATATGAAATAAGAACTTCTTTTTGTTGTTTTTCAGAATATTGAAATAAAGAAATGTTAGAAGATGCGTACCCAGAAATTTGTATTTGAGACCGATCAACTCCTATTTTTGTTAAATGTTTTGCTTCCAAATGCTTCCAAAATCCATAACCACCCGCTTATTTGTATTTATAAGATGTTCCACAATAATTGAAAATTACATCAAACATTTTGTCACCTTTAAATTTCTTCATAAAATGAATGGCGAATATGTCGGAATTTTATCTTGCTCTTCGAAAAATTTATGTACCTTGCCCTTCCTCTTGTTGTAAATTCTCATCATTAAATTCAGATTCTTTAGTTGAAAATTTCAAATTTTCATTTGGATATCCCTCAAGATTATATTAGTCGAGAGTGAAATCGAAGATGTCGTTTGCGGGGATAGATGAATATTATGTTCCAATCTTTCCCTTGCCCTTAGCGGAACTTGAGTTTCCTCTACTTGTCATTATAGGAAAATAACATGTAACTTGGAAAATTGAATAAAAAAAATTAGAGAGAATAATTAGAGATTGAATAAGAGAGATTGTAGAGGTAGAAGAAGAATTAATATAGCCAAGTAGGTGTAGTAGGCAGTGCTAGATATTGTAGATAAAGAGTAAGTAGAGAGAGTAGAGATTTTTTTGTGATGAATTTGTAAATGAAATGACGGTATTTATAATAAATCCAAAAAATTATTTTTTCAAACAATAACCCTTTAAACTAAGCCGTTATTATAGCCGTTTTAGCTGTTGGCGAGCGGAATAAGAATTTCATAATTAAAATTTTTTTAAAAAAAAAAAACACAAAAACTAACAGTTTTCGGCTAGAACCGCGCGCGTTCGAACCAGCCAGAGAACGCGGTTCCAATCGATTTCCAACGCGTTTGTGGAACCGCCCTATTGCGTTTCCATAAATCTAGAATCGAACATCCAAAAAATTATTTTTTCAAAAATACCCTTGAAACTAGCCGTTATATAGCCGTTTATGGCTGTTGGGAGGGGTAATTAAGAGATTTCATAATAAAATTTTTTTAAAAAAAACACAAAACTAACAGTTTCTGGCTAGAACCGGCGGTTCGAACCAGCCAGAGAACCGGCGGTTCCAATCCGATTCCAACCGGTTTTGTGGAACCGCTGATTTGCGGTTCCATAAATCTAGAATCGGAACCGAACCAGAAATCTTCGGTTCCGGTTCCGGTTCCGGTTCAGACTGATTTCGATTCCCACCGGTTTCGGTTATAGTTGGGGACCGATTCGAACCGATGGTTCTGATTCCCGAAACCGTAATATGGCCACCCTTACACACACATAATCATTTTATTATTATAAAAAAATTACAAAATATTTATAGATCCATTAGGACATATGTTTATAATTAATAATTATCTTATGAAAATCTAAATAGCAGACCATTAAGTGCATATACTATTTGAAGACGGAACTATATTTAATAACTTCCCATTCTCCCAATGTTAAAAGAGTCATATCTATCAATAATTTCCATATCAAGAAATTTACAAATTTAATCTAGGTCATGCAACTTTATAATTTAAATAGAAATTATTTCATTTCCTAAAAAAAAAACACTTAGAATATGTTATTTATTGAGATTTTATATTGATAAAAAATTAATTTAATTAATAAAAGTCAATAATATATAGTAAAATAAAATTAATATATAAATTTCAATAGTCAGGGATGATTATTTTCTCATTATTTTTGAATAAATTAATTACATAAAATTTTCATATATACCATATAAAATAAAATAAAAAAGTGATGGCAAATATCAATTTTGGGGATCATTTTGAAATTATAGGGGAGCTCATTGGACTTGGGGTTCCATAGCTGCCATTCTTTGTCCCTTGAGAACACCACTTTAACTAGTTTTTCTTCTTCAAGATGCATAAAGAATATATAAAACAGAGAAATTATTAGTTTGCAAGCTCTCATATAAGCTGTTTAAACATAAAACATTGAATGAATGAGCAGCCTCAGCCTCAGCTTCTTCATTCTCTGTTGTATATCTATAATTCTCACATACATTTTTTTCTCTCAAAAGAAAATAATTCTCCCATTCATATATTATTATTATTATTATTATTGTTTTCGATTCCACGGGTATCCTCAAATACTTCGGAATTTAGATACTTAGATGCCTTTCAAATTCCAGATATTATCCCATGCTTCATCATCATGATTGATAGTATTAACACCAGCATCATTAATCAGCTCCTTCTCCCAGTAAGGCCAGCAATCCTTCCCCACCGCAGCGGCCAGCCCCACTGCACTCTCCGACCACATCCATTCTTCCTCGTAGCTCCAATGCTCCATAAACGATTCACTCATTATCATTTTCGCCTCCGCTTCAATAGCTTCTTTGAATAGACTTCCAGTTTCACGCGGGAAAATATTCTTAGGCTTTGAAGAAACAGAAACAGCATCAGTCTTATAGCTGCGGATACTGTTAACCTCGAGAATGGTCACTTCATCTTCTTGCTGTTTAATCTCCATTTGAGGATCGTATGTAGGATTCATCCTTGATCCTCTGAAGACATATTTTCGAGCTCTTGCATTAATTCTTGCTGTTCTCGCATTGTATTCATTCTCTTCTTTGCTTCTCTTTCTTCTTCTCCCATCATCATAAACTGCGGTCACTTTGGCCCTCTTCATTCTCGCAGAGAGATAGAGAGAGAGTGAGAGAGATGAGAGATGGAGATTTACAAGAAGTGATGTGTGATACAGAGAGACAGTGTGTGGGTGTCTTAAATAGGGGTTTAGGGTTTGTTTGGAGGAGAGAAATGGATTTTTTTTAGCTTTTAACTCTCTTTTTCCTGTTTCAAGTTTTTCAGCTTTTAGGGTTTTATTTACTCGTTTGATATTGTCTCGAGAAAATGGTGACGAAGAAAAGTGATCAATGGAAAGAGGGAATCTCGATATATTTAGAATTTGATTTCTCAAATATATATCATGAGATAAAGAAAAGGCCCGAGATGGAGTGCGTTTCTATTTCTTTATGTGGTATGAGATACACGTGGCCATCCATGTATGCCACGTCAAGATGTGGCCAAAAACTTATGGGGCCCACTTGTTCAATTTAGGAGATTGGGTTTGAATTTTCTACTACTTTTGGATTTTCTTTCTATTAAATGCTTTTTGCTTTATTTTAGGGTAATAGCAACAGAAAAGATTAAAAGGACAAGGACGAAAATGTTTTGTTTGTTTTTATTTTTTTTTCCTTTAATTTAAGTTTTGACAAAGGAGATTTTAGACAAATGCAATTTAAATTTAATTTAGACAAATTAAATAATCCAACGCATAGCTGGTTGGTAAGTATATGTATGGCGTAACAATTAATATAAAATTTCTTGTATTTTATGTTGCTTTTTTTTTTTTTATATATCACTTTGCCAAAACTAAGAGGAACCTAAAAATTTTAGGGTTAGGAGGGCAAAATAAATACTGAAAATACATTACTTTATTAAAGTAATTGTTTTTTTACGCTAGAGGAGGTGAAGCTTAATATATAAATTAACGTCTACACTCTATCAAATTGTGTATATTAAATACTTTAACTTATAGAATTAAGTTTATTAAATACATATAATGTTTTTCAATTTTCCGATAAGCATTATAGAAAAATCTAACAACACTCCCATCATTTAAATTGACGTTTCATACTTTTTGATTCATAAATTATGTCTATTAAATTCTTTTAATTTATAACATTGCACCTATATAAATTTCACATTTTTCAATTTTCAGATACACATTTAGTGTATGATCTTTATGGATTTTTCTTTTTTACATAAATTAATGAATAACGATTTTTACATTCCTTAACCACTATATAAATGTTTAATAAGTACGATTTTTTAAGTTACAATTTAATAATTCAAAAATAAATTAACTAACTTATAAACTTACCTAAGTTAATTTATACATTTCACCTTTCTTATAATGAAGTTTAATTACATTAAAAATGGATATCCAACTCAGATTGTCAGAAAATCCTGATATAAATGTAGGCAGTTAAAGTTAAGATATTCAATTAAATTAGTGGTTATCACAAATGTTGTCCTGCCAAAATAAAGCGTGTAAGCAGATATTACAGATATCAACGTCTAAAACTTTCCATTAGGCTTTTTATCAGTGTGACCAATTTTTGTGATCCAAGTACATCTTGCTCAGATATGAAGAGTGGATTTGTAATTCAAATCTTCAAAGCTCTGTATAGGGATTTCTAACAATAATTAATCAAATGATGATTGGCAATTGTCCTGCTTTTGTTTAGGACTCTTGCAATCACTTACAGGTTGGGGCAAAACACAGCAAAAGTGTCATTGACAACAGTAATATTTACTAATATAAAACATATTTAGTAATAATTACTGTGTCACTAAGGCTTGAAAAATTCACAGTTTATATCTTAACCACAAATTAGATATCAAAATCAATCACTTGATGTAGCAAACAGTAAGAATAGGACATACATTTTATGTATGTCCATAAGCATCTCCAAACATCAGCAGCCAACAAAAGGCATCGCAGGCCGTCGGCGAGAACTACTGAAAAGCACCAGAATGCTCACCATCAGTATCAATTGTTCACCGGCAATAGGTAAAAGAGGCAGTGAGGAAAAATGACTGTCAATTATCTAATTCTAAATTGTTCATGTGTCCATATTCCAAACACTGCACAATGATAATTAGCATATCAGTAAACACAGCCAGTTACCAAATGTTATCAAGAACTTTAGCTCTACCAGCACATCTTCACTTGCTGGCAATGGTATATTCTAATCGAAAAGACTTGACCTGCATGGACAATAGTCATAATGCTTAGCCTACAATGTTCATAATGCACAGGGCATGCATGCATAGATTTTCCTGGATGCTTAATTGACATGCATGAGATTCAGAAAATCATAAAATTATATTTCCGCAATTTTTCACTTAAATGCTTGCAGAGCATCAAAATGAATGTAATCAATGTTATGGGAGCATAAAATATCCAAGAATTTCATCTAGACCTTCAAGCAATTAAGATAATCACCTCTCTTACATCATAATTATAATCAATTACTTTTACAAGTTTGGAATAAATTTTTTTGAGGTATGATCAATTGATCCCATCATTCAAAATAATGGCAATTAACAGTTCTCTATAAAATTGATTTCCCTTTTACAAGAAAAACTCCCATTGCTAACATCCTTCTAGCTATGACACTAGTAACACTTGTTGTGGCTGCCAAAACTGCTTGATTATCAAGAGCGAAATGAGTAGTAACTGATGAGAAGGCACCTTTCCAAGCTTGAAGAATGAATATTAGCAAGATGCACACAACTTGCATAAAACCAGCCAAACCCACTATTTGGGGTTCTTATCTGCTCTTAACATTCCAATATATATGGATAATCTAAACATAGATGCATGAGAAATTTGCTCTGTAATAACATGCATTTCAATGAGCATAGTAAAACAACAAAGAGACTGATTGTTGATATAGGATTTGATTTTATGTTTTCGCAAATAAGTCTACCTATAAAACCAGACTATCCATTTTTGCAAGTATGGAAAAGGACTCTAGGATTATGATTACGATATGGCACAAGTGACAGACTAAATTATGCTATATCAATAAAGAAAATTGATGATATGCTTTCACATTTTCCTGAAGAAAATGAAACCACGATCCAATGGTAGAAGGATCTGCCAGCCTAACAAGAATAAAATGCAAATACTGACACAGGAAATTTGCAAACTAAATAATGCTTCAAGATATGTTATTTACAAAAGAAATAATGCAAAACATCAATAAGGCTAGAAACTGCGACGGACACCACTCTTGAGTTTAAAAATTAGTGATATAAAGCAATCTTTCTTTGCCTGCTTAAGTCTCATCAGACCAGATATACAAACACCATAATAACAGCAATACTAGACAAAATCCAACAAGCTGCCTCTTCCCTATTATGCTCGGCTTCATTTAGGTGGAGTGTGATTGCGCCAACGATATGAGAACAACGCTTTGACGATAAGGAGATACTAAAACTTACCATGGGTGCATTTCACGAAAAATTAAAAGACATATCGGTAACAAACCGTACGATATCATGAATACATAGTTTACTTATGCTTCTTGTTTTGGCATTTTCTAAAACATTCCCTACTTCATGTAGATTAGTTACCAAATGCAAAATTACAAACAATTAATAATGCACTGACATTTAGATAATGTCTTAGACGTCATTACACGAATTTATTGGTGTTCTGTTATTTTACAACGAATACAAATGCCGTATCGCAAACTACACACTTGTCATGTTTATAGTTTAATGTGGAATTTGGAATATTTGAAAGATGCATATCAATATTTTCCATAACATACGTGCATATTTTTTTTTTCCTGTTCAAAGAAAAAAAAAATTCCATAACATAATTGTGTCATATTTTTTAATTGCCTATGTTCACCAATCAACATTGCCATATATTCAAAGCTTGATAAATTCATAAATTTAAACATGAAGACCTTGAAACCAGCAAAAGAATATGTAAAGAGTCACTAATTTACATGAAAATTCAAGACCATTGAACTAACAAAGGGATTCAAGCAAGAAAGCATTGTCAAGGCTGAATGCGCCAACAAAGGTAGATATAAGGAGTTTGTTTGGGTTAATGAGTTCTTTACAATTTATAAGGAATTTATTTACAAAGTCTAGCTTGACATGCTTGATAATTCTGTGGAATCAAATATGCTTTTGCAAATAAATTCTAAACCAGCAAGCTTAGAAATAAATTATATATTCATCTGTTCTAAATATTACTAATTCAGTCAATGTGTTCCTAAATCAGTTCAATGGAGGGAAATTAATGGTTTGTTCAACCTCTGAATCTGTGACAACCAACACAATGAAGCAGTAGCCAATCATACATAGGCAAGATAACCCTAGAAAAGAACATTTCACCATTAATGGAAACGATTATACCAAAATTCACTAACAGCAGAAGGAAAGAGCACGAAACAAAGGGAGAGCAATTGAATCATCTTGTAAATGGACTTACTATTGTGTTAGATGCGCAGAGCTTTCTGAAGGATACTGTATGCTGCAGATTGGAAATTGAACAATTCTGGGCTTCGACGACGTTGATTTCCATTTCTTTTTTAGTGAAATAATTTCAATCTCTGTATCAGGGCCTTTCCATTCTCTTTCTTCCATTTCTCAACAACCTGTCGTTTATTCTGGAAATTGTTTCTGTAAACCCCTACGGCTACGACTACCTACAGCCGCAGTCGTTTCAGCTTCAACAAGAAATGGAAAGAAAAAAACTACTAATTCATTGTAGTATGCAGCGTAACATCCCAGCGGCATGTCGTTAATCTAATTAGGCTTGGCTAAAGGCCAAGGTGTTGATGGTTTCTTTCATTTGCATTTGCTTCTATTATACTCCCTCGGTACCGAAATATTACTGTTTAAAATTTATGAATGGGAATTAAAAAATAATTAGTTTTCCCAAATTATAACAAAATCAATGATAATTATATCAAAATCAATGATAATTATCTTTTATCTTCACCCAAGAGTTAGTACTTATGAAAGTAGTTATTGTATCTAGTAGTTATTGTATCTATCTAATGTAAATAAGAGTAACATTCAAAGGACATCGGCTGTGTTTAGCAACAACTTTAAGGGTAACATTGAAAAAATACGTTGACTATGTTTGGCGAAAGCTTTTTAAGTGTTTTTAACGCTTATGAAGTTAAGATAGCGTTTCATGTAACGTTTATTCGGTGAAAAATGTATTCAGTAACATAACATTTAAATTTAACTCGTAAAACAATCAGTTACTAAAACAATAGTTAATCTTATCAAATAGATCCATCATTTATTATTTTTTAAAATACTCAAAATAACTTAAATTTTAGGATAAAATAATCACCCAAAAACAATTTAAAACGAGGATAAATTATTTGGGCATGGGTGCTAATTAGCTTGCTTGCACTGATGGTTTTTTTTTTTTTTTTCTATTTTCTTTATTACGCAATCTCAAGCTCGACTTGATAAAAATATGCATCAAAATATGGCTCGAGCTCGACTTGATAAAATTATGCTCATACTCGAATTCAATTAGTTTATAGTTTATAGTTACATGGACACAGTTTTCATCCATTAATAAAGGTAACATAAGAATGAACGATAAGGGAAAGATATGCCATTTACATTTACTTAAAATACATTCACAAAGTAAATGACCAAAACTCAATACCAATTGGGCACTATACAGAAATTAATTGATCACCAAATGAAATTAAATGACCCTCCCAAACACTAACTTTTATGTTATGTTACATTACAAAAGAGCCAAGTTAAGCTCTCAAACATATTGAAACCTCTCTTAACAACAAAAGGTTTGCCATTTCACTTCTTCAATCAAACTACTTACAGAGACATTAGCAATGATCACCACCAAAAATATATATATATATTTATATAAATACATAATATTTACACTATCGATAATAATTCTTGACACCCTCCAAAAAGATCCAAAATTCCCTCTTCTTGTTAAGTCGGCCGAGTTTGTGACTCTAGTGGCAATTTAGCTTCCTTCTATTTACACTTTAATTTCTTTTCTTTTGTTATGAGTTCTAAGCCATAGCAGGGATGCTGGAATTTTGGCGATCCCTGCTAAGGCAATCAAATCCTTCTACTCTAACTGCAGCTGGTTTAAGCCCAAATGTCATTCTCACGCATCCTCCTATGCGTGATGATGTTGGAGATGACAAACCTGAGGGTGATGATGGTATTGACATTTGTGACATTGGATTAAGTTTTTCATCTCCAAATCGGGCATCTTGGATTACAGGGTTAGTGGCTCTTGTAGGAGGAGACCCACAAAAGAATGGGGGTGATGAGGCTACCTGGTTAGTAGATTGTTCTACCCGATAACCATCCTGTTAACAAAATGAAGATCCTAATCAATATCAATGTCAATTCAGCACATACCTTTAATAACCGACAGAATCAATTTTGTGACAAAACATTAAAGGTCCATTTAATATGCTCACAAACATATGAGTATAATCACTATAAGGCCAAATTTAGCTAAAAAAGAAACCATAACATAACCACAAAAAGTGTTGGAACTTGGAGGAAACAACTTTAGTTCAGAAAATTAGTCTAAAAACAACATCCATCTCAACCAAGTTCGGATGTTCAATATTTATCCTTATCCACCGTAATTAAAAAAAAAAAAATTGAAGACAGCAATTAATAATTTACCTTCATTAGGATAATGTCCAGAAGATCTGCCCCGGCTTTCGCATCACACATCTCGGCTTGATGACTGTCATTCCAAGAAATCACACAAACATTAAGATTCAAAACAGTTGGAAAATTCAGTTAAAGGGGAAAAATCATTTAAAAACTAATTACCTCATTTGCCATCTCAAAGACCTTATGGGGTTGTTAGCCAGAATTCCAACTCGTCGAGGTTTCGGACAAACAACAGGACCCTTGGGATCATATATTGAAACCGAGCCTCTAGCCTCATCACAGGAGGCAATGGCGTTCTTCTGAAGATTAAAGTGATTCATCTTCAAATTTGCACAATAATTCTACAGTAGAACGCCTGCGCACATCAATAAATGCAAAAAAAGCTACTTAGTTGGCTTAAACGTTCTTGAAGATCAATAAATGGATCATTCAAATAGTGAATCTACAAAAGAACTTCTGATCCATAGCCAGACAGTGGTCATAAATCCAGATCCATTCAGACCAATAGATAAATACAACTCCAAATCTCCATATCATTGAAAATTTACCAATAACGCAACAATTAAGAAAAGTTTTATTACCCTTTCCTACTCTATGGATTAAATTAAAATTCCTTCAAATTTATTTGTTTCTCTGAAATTTCCTTCCACTTATCCACCAACCAAAAGATAAATTTAACAAATTCCATGACAGATCTAAGCACAAACCTTTGAATGAATTTTTTTTGTTTTCAAAAAAGAAACGCAAAAGGACAAAACTTTACCATATCAAAAGCAAAAAACGTACCAATTGAAAACAAATCAAGCATCACCATGATCTTTCAAAATCCAACCTTTTTTTGCCAAATAAAACCAAAGAAAAAGAAAAGGAATCGGTAGGAATAAGATCGTTAACCGATTAAAAAAAATGAAAACAGTTAAGGCTCATTAGATCTGATCAACAATTAGAAATATAAAGCTTTTACTTTTAATTACTGACTAAAACTATTGAGATTAAAGACAAAGCAGAAGCAAATACAGATCTGCATAAAATCAGCATAACTATACATGTTAGAGAAAGGATAGATTTACCGTACCTGGAGGAATCCTCCGGTAGAAGAAAGCCAGAAAAAGCGCCACGAGGAAGAAGAGGGGAAACGCGGAGCTGAGGCGAATTTATAGAGGTGGTTTTGGTTGTTGAGGAATTGGTATTGGTAATAATAGTCAAAAATGGATGCTTTTTTATTTTTTTTTATTTTCTTTTCAATTTAGGGAGTTTTGTTTTCTGATAAGACAAATATAGAAGGTTAGGGTTGGAATTTCCTCGCTCATTAATATATAGGTTTGATAAAATTAGGGAGTGTATTGATTGTTGGAAATGGAAATTTGAATTGATTTATATGGAAATTTTATTTTCACACACAAAATTCAATCGTTGAATACTTTTGAAACACGGAAATACATCCTTGTGTTTTCTAAGTGATTTTTATATGAAGATTAAAAGAATTAAATTTTTCTCAAAAAATAAAATATTACAGCATAATTAAGAATTCTTTTTTCATTTATCTTAAATTATTGTCACGTTTCTTTTTTTTTTTTAATAAAATCAGATTTTTTTATATATACATAAGAGGTTTAATGGATTGAAATAACATTATGGACTATAAAGCAGAGGAACTCTCCCCTTTGAACAACATTCACTGAATAAGTGAAAACCTTTACGGTGGGGAAGATTCAAGGTCGAACTCGCTCTTTTGAACAATATTCATTAAATTGGTGATAACGTTTATGATGAGAAAGATTTAAACCCGGACTCTTGACCTCTCACCAATCAAATCACACGGGCCATACCTAATTGGCAAAATCATGTTCTTTTAAAAGTTAATAATATTCAACATTTAATATTTTATTTCTATTTAATGTGCTTCATCCACAATAGATATATTAATCAAACTACTGAATTATCATTAATTGAACAATATTCATTAAATTGGTGATAACGTTTATGATGAGAAAGATTTAAACCCGGACTCTTGACCTCTCACCAATCAAATCACACGGGCCATACCTAATTGGCAAAATCATGTTCTTTTAAAAGTTAATAATATTCAACATTTAATATTTTATTTCTATTTAATGTGCTTCATCCACAATAGATATATTAATCAAACTACTGAATTATCATTAATTGAACAATATTCATTAAATTGGTGATAACGTTTATGATGAGAAAGATTTAAACCCGGACTCTTGACCTCTCACCAATCAAATCACACGGGCCATACCTAATTGGCAAAATCATGTTCTTTTAAAAGTTAATAATATTCAACATTTAATATTTTATTTCTATTTAATGTGCTTCATCCACAATAGATATATTAATCAAACTACTGAATTATCATTAATTGAACCAATCAAATCACACGGGCCATACCTAATTGGCAAAATCATGTTCTTTTAAAAGTTAATAATATTCAACATTTAATATTTTATTTCTATTTAATGTGCTTCATCCACAATAGATATATTAATCAAACTACTGAATTATCATTAATTGAATTTTGGCACTCACAAATTTAAAATATCAATATTTAATATTTCGTTTATATATTAGCCAATTGCCTTGATTATTGAACAAATAGTTTTGATTAATTTCAATAACAATTTAATATAAATATTTTAATTTCAACAGAATATTAAAATGAGAATATGTTAGAAAAAATAAAAAGGATTATAGTTTAATTAGTATGTATGTTCAGGTTAAAGCAAAAAAAAATTACGTGACAGATAGAGTGTATAATAGTATAATAATAATAATATTATTATTTTATTTGAGTATTAAGAGAAGGGAATTCGAACTTGGATCTATTGTCAAGTCGTGTATGCACTTACCACTAGACTATGCCTTGATGTGCAATAACATAATATTATTACTTAATTGTTAATTAATTATGAAAATTTTATAAAAATATTTACCACTAGATTATATCTTGGTGTGCAACAGTATAACATTATTACTTAATTATTTAATTAATATATTACACTCTATGATTCGGACAATGATTAGAGGTTAAATAAGCAATTCATTCATTTGGTTCTTCAACTTGATTAGTGTTGAAGTAGTGTTTAATAAATCTAATTTGGAAAGCAAGACCAAAATTTCCAATTGATGGACGAACCGAAGCATACTTTCCAGTCAAAAATCTTTCGTTTTCTTACCTTAAATTTTCCCAATACAATGTTTTTTCTTAAAAAAAATAAAATAAAATTACTGTGGTCGGGTCGGAATCACACCAATTGATTTTTTGGGATATTATATTATTGTTTGTTGAAAAATAGTAAGAACTCGGCAGATTTAACTTTGACCAAAATGAACATTTAAAAAATAGATAATTTAAAAAACAAAGGTTCCAGCTGGCTTCCGTATATGTTCAATACTGTGCATTTTCTTCTTTTTTTTTTCCAGGAAAAAGAGGGACTGTAGCGACATTTTTGCGGCGAAGATTGGGGAGGAAAATACCGCGTAAGAGCAAGGAGTGGGTCCCATAGTATTCTTCTAAGCAACGAGCATAGTGAGCGTTGAATAGTTCGACTTATGAAGTCGGAACAGAAATACATATCCTGCACCTGCACTTAGTAGATTAGAGCATTTCCTTTATAAACTAATGCACGTGCATTTTGAGAACCTTTGTTGAGTTTGGACTACCTCCGGTGAATGAGAATCACACCCCATAGTTTTAGCCCACGTGATGGAATATTTTTATTTTCTTTATTTATTTTGCTAATTCTCATGATTCATGCATCTTATCAATATGGGTGACAATGTATAGTGTGTAGGGCCTCGAGTGGATGTAGAAGTTTGTGAGCTCTTGGAGGTTCCATTTAATAAAAGCTCGCATGATTCGTTTTAATAATTTTATCAAGCCGAGTTTGAGTTTAAGTAATTAGCTTGTGAGTCGCGCCTTATGCGTTAATTTTTCAAATCAATTTTATTAAAACGAGTTGAATTCAGGAGCGAACTGGATAAATTAAAAAGAAAATTATAATACGATTTATGCAATTTGTGAATACAATTAGTCCATATCTCCTTTTTTAAAATATATTAATTTGTCTTTATGTTTTATTTTCATTATACTATTAAATCCCTTTGTTTAATTTTTGTATTTTATTCATTAAATCAATAACATAGAGGTTAAAGGAGAGATAGTAAAATATTATAGCGAAAAAATTACAATGTAGTCCCTATTATTTAAAAATACAAATAATTTGTTCCTATATTTTAAAAATTAAGAGGTGTATTTTCATCATTTCATAAGGTACTTAACTGAAAAGATGTAAAAATTGAACGAAATGACCTCATAATCTGACGAAAGTAAATTATAAGGACATTTTAGTATATTTTTCAAAATACAAAGACAAACTAGTTGTATTTTGCAAACAACAGGAATAGTATTATAATTTTTCCCAAATTAAAATTTACATTAAAATCAAAGTTGTTTTGGTTTAATAGATTTTGAATTTGAATTTGAACTCAACGTATTTATAACTATTGAGTTGAACTTCAAACTCAAATTTAATTCACTTATTACGTAAGTTTAATAAGGAGACTCAAACTTGATTATTAAACTTATCAAATTAATTTAAATATATATATATTTTTTTCCGAATTGAGCTTGAAATAACTTAGCAATGGCTTGATTCATGAACAAGTACAACCTTACTTCTAGTAGAGTATTTATCAACTTTGAACTATATATATAGTGTGAGATTAATAGGAATTCCGTAGCATTTTTCTTATGTTCATGAGAATTTAATAAAATTAGAAGATGTACAAAAAGCCAACTCAGTGTGAGAGAGGAGGTGATGGCTATGCGGTGCCTTTAAAAGAAGAGATGTAACTTTTAGGCTGTATTGCATAAATAAAAACATTTGGTAGGTAAGTTTTGTATGGGCCTCTCTAAGAGTAGTCTAGTCACCAGGTGATGGGTCTGTGCTTTGAGCCTTAATGCCTGTGGCCCTTGCTTCCGCTCGACTGTGCCTCTATATTCTTCGTTTGAAAATTTAAACTGAAAAATTAAACAAATGAGTCTGGAAAAACGAAATAAAACTTTTGATAGGTAAAGCAAAAAAAATTTTTAAATAGTCAAAATAAATAAAGCTTTTAGTAGTGAATTTTGCGTGTGTTTATATACAATTCTTAATAGAATTTAAATTTGAATAGAAAATCAATATAGATAAATCAAATTAAGAGTTTAATAATAATAATAATTTTTTATTTTATTTTTTAACTAATCCAACTAAAAGATAGTTTATTATTCTTAAATTTAATAATGTTCTGCTAATCAGGTGTGATATAATGAGTTAAGGAGGGCACGTTTAGATAATATTGATGTAATTGTAGGACAGACTTGGGTAGGGGGTGAACATTTGGCCAATTCGATCAAATTGGGTAATTTTTAACCGAAATAAATTAACAGAAAATTTTTTTTAACTTAATTGAATTTAACCAATTCGTTTTGGCCGAATTAATTTTGATTATTAACTGAATCAAATTTAAAGAAAATGAAACTTAATTAACTGATTGAATTTAACTAAAATTTATGATTAACCGACTTAATCGAAATAAAATTAACCAAAGTTATTAATCACTAATTAATCAAAACGATATAGTTTTGAGAATCAGTTAATTTGATTAATTCGATTAAATTAATTTTTGATTGAATCTTTAACTGCTCATTGAAATTTTAATTTTCTTTTACCAAACTTTTAACTAAACATTTATTTACCAAATGAAATTTATTAAAATAATCAAATTGATCGAGTTGACCGAACCGAATGGACACAAACACAATTTTTCTTCAAGTCAACTTGATCACGGTACATTTTCATTTTAACATAAGTAAACGTAAAACAACATTTTCACTTTAAAACTTAAAAAACATTTTCAATTTATAGTAAAATATAAAATTATTAATTTATTGTCTTTTTTTTTTTTTTTTGAAGAAACCAAAAGCTTCATTAACTTAATAATAGTCCAACAAACACACAGGAATATCATCCCAAACCTGAAAGCAAGAACGAGCAATGGAAGCTGCTTCATTAACTTAATAATAGTCCAACAAACACACAGGAATATCATCCCAAACCTGAAAGCAAGAACGAGCAATGGAAGCTCTAGCTAGAGTATGAGCTGCCAAAGTTACTTGCCTACGAACCCATTGCAAAGAAATATCAACACGAGAATCTAAAATATGTATACAATCAGAAAGGAAAACTCCTAACTCAGAATTATCAAGAGTATGATTAAGTAGAGCCTGAATAACTTGTTGACAGTCCGAAATAACGCATACGTTAGGAGGTAGAAACTCAGCTACAAACAAAAGATATTGTCGCAAGGCAAGGGCCTCAATGATCGCCGGTGAACCATTACCTTTTGAGAATCCAGATATCGCTCTTTGAAATATACCTTCAGCATTTTCAATAACAAACCCAAAGCCCTCATAGTCTTGGGTAGAGAAAATCGCACTATCCACTTGGCACAACCAATCGAACGAACCCCTAACATTAGCAACAGGTTGTAGACGACTTCCCTGCAGACCTGAAATCATACCACTTGGATGTTGATGAGAGTATATCGAACTAGCAGTTGGAATCTCTTCAACTTAAGCACATTTCCAATCTTCACACCACTTAACTGCTTCGACATGTATTTGAGCAGGAGATAGACTAAGGTGTTGCCATAGCTCATTATTACGAGCAGCCCATATTTTCCATGCAACAAATGTGCAGTCCGATGCATTTCCAACTCCTTTTAAGGACAAAACCTGCAGTAAAAATTCAGAAAAAATAATGTTAGACTGCAGGCCATCCAACCCCACATTCCTCCATACCTCCTTCGCCTTAGGACAATGAATAAGCACATGGTCTCTACTCTCGTCACCACTACACCATAAACATTTAGCCTCAACCTCAATCCTCTTACGTCTAAGATTATGATGAGTAGGCGATAAGTTCCTACTTGCTCTCCAACAAAAATTTTCACCTTTGGGGCTACATTCGACTTCCATAAATTTTATTTAGATGGCTCACTCCCTCAAACTCCCAAACTCACATAGTAATCCGACTTCACTGTATACACTCCCTTCTTATCAAAGTGCCACAGAAACAAATCCCTCGGATCAAAACAACTAATCAGGATGCCCACGATTGCTCTAATATCTCATTGAAAATAAATTCCTATTGTGAGGGCAAAATTCAGCCTCACCTCACTTTCCTTGCTGACATCAGGAGTGTGGGCGACAAGCCGACAAGGACTGTCATCTGGCCCAGGCGTCCACATGATCAATCAGTCAGTCACCTTTCAAAATAACCGCATAGTAAGTCTAATTTATTCTCCAACGGAATCCTCCTGGAAGGCTGGAACCAGCTTAACCTTCTAGATAAATATCAAAAAAAAAAAAAAAAAAAAAAAAAAAAAAAAAAAAAAAAAAAAGCTTAACCTTCTAGATCAGCATCAATCCCAATAATAAAACCAATAAATAAAAGCAAAGTAACGTGTCTCCAACTTTTAAAAATAATATAAAATTTAATAAAAAAAACTAAAAAAAAAAAAAAATCATAACAAACAATTAAAATAATCCAAACTTTGGAAAATAAAAATTAAATAAAAACAAAAAAAAATCTCCCACTCAGATCACGACCAAAAACAAACATATACAATCATATGTTAAATATTTTTTAATAATTTTAATTTATTCTGTCCACAGTCAGATTTCGTTGCCTCATGGCTTTGAAATGCGGAAAAGTCTACGGTGGCCATTGTAGCTTATTAGACGGTCTCTAATATATTATTTACAATTTATATTTATTTCTTTATACGCTTAAGCTTCTGGAAAACTATATAATAGCACTCACATCTCCGATTATTTTTTTATTATTATTGTTATTATTTTTTGCGTTAGGTGTTGTTTGTTTCCGGGGAAACAGAGGGAAAAGGAGGGAAATAATGGGACGTGGAGTGAGATTGCCAGGCATCGATAAAGAGTTGCAGAAGATACTCGATGCGGATATGGACGAAGCACCGGCTAGACGACGCGCTCGTGAAGCGTTTAAAGATATCCAGCTTGGAATTGATCATATATTGTTTAAGGTAATGTTTCGCGTTTGTATGTGTTTTTATTTTTAATTTTTAATTTTTGATTATTAGAATTAGATAAGATAATGATTACTGGCTATTAATTGTAATTTTTGGATAATCGTAGTTACTGTTGAAGTTAATTCAGTAATGTTTGATGTTTGAGATTATTTGAAACGACAGTTATTAACTATTTTTTTTTTTTTTATGGTTAAATAATAATATGTTGCAGTCATCTTCTGATGGATTGAAAATAAAGGAGGTAAATATTCTATGCTTCTGTTTTTCTTTTTCCTATTTATGTATTTATATAATCATAGTTTATATATTTAAAATCTTAATTGGATTAAGGCTTTGAGGCTATTCTTTGCCAGGAAATGGAAAAGAAAAGGAGCAAAAGATTGTGTATTTGGGTTTATAAGATTTTTTTTTTTTTTGAAATAAGTATTTGGGTTTAGAGTAGTTAAGAGCAGTTGAAGTTGACCAGTTGCAAAGTTGTTGCATTTCACATGTACAGTTCTGATTTCTTGCTAGCAAAATTCCTGCTTTAACCATTTATAGTTGAACATGTATCAAAATGCGCATATCATATAATCATGTGGGGTTGTAAGTTTTAACAGGAGAAGGGTTAGGAGTCTGCATTTAAGTCTCAACTGCCCATTTTGAGGTGCCATTAATTACTCTCTCTTTCAGACGCTCAATTTTTTTTTTTTTTTTAAAAGAAGAGAATAACTCTTTTCTTTAGCTCTCTTTGGTGTACAAAAATATGCTATTGTGGATGCAAATCATATTTTCTTCCCTGGCAAACTCTTGAAACTTGAACTGAGCATTTTGAGAGAGATAAACGCTTCTTTATTTTCTCTTCAGGTTGACGTTCTATAGTTTTTACAGTCTAATTTCTGAATAAAGATTATTACTTGGTATTTTTTTTGCTTTTACAGTCATTTCAGGTTAATTCTAGAGGATTGGAAATTTTCACAAAAAGTTGGCTTCCAGAGACCTCTTCCCCTAGAGCAGTGGTGTGTTATTGTCATGGTTATGGAGACACTTGCACATTTTTCTTTGAAGGCACGTTGCTATTATTTCGAAAGTTTATAGAATGAGGTTTTAGGAATACTCTGATGATGATAAAACTTTATTGATTCTCGGAATTGCTTGCAGGTATTGCAAGAAAGCTGGCATCATCTGGATATGGAGTTTTTGCAATGGATTATCCAGGATTTGGTCTTTCAGAAGGTCTTCATGGCTATATTCCCAGTTTTGATGCGCTAGTCGATGATGTAATTGAGCACTTTTCAAAAGTCAAAGGTGCGGTCAGCTGTTTTAATATGCCCAGTACTTTCATGAGAAACTAATGCTGTTGCTTTGGAAGTAAATGAGTGAGGTTCAATTTTGGTGCTTCAAATGCATATGAGACATGGGTAACAAGTTAATGTGAGAAATTTTGGAAGGTTACTCCCCAGAGCACGTTGTTGCCTGATAATATTGAAGGGGTAACCAATCATCACTAATATAGACAGTAGTAAATGCTAACTAGAATTCATAATTTTGATATTAACTTGATAAGTAACTTGTATACAACCACTAGATTGTCTCTTTTATTATGACACTTGAGGAAGCAGAGGATTTTAAGATATTGATCAATTGGGGCTTGTTGCTTAGCCTATGGTTCTTGGATTATTTACTACTTGCACCTTGGTAATACTTAGAAACTTTTTTTTTTCCAAAAAAAGAAAACCTCAATTAGAAATTTTACTGAATTTATGGATTCTTGGGAATGGTCTCTAGGAGTTTTAAAATAGAGTGAAGAAACTGACATGGGTTTTAAAGTTGAGTGAAAAAACTGGATTGAGCTGATAAACAAGGTAAAAACCTAACCCTTCCTGCATACCCCTTTGTTACCATTACAGTTCTTTTAGGGGTGGCAAAGTGTCTTTTGAACTTTCGCTTCTGGTCTATGATGCACGAAAACTCAGTCATGGGCGTTACTGCATTTCGGAAACATTTCTACGTGTCCGTCTTCCCCATATAAAATAACTGTTTGACCATGTAAAATTTTGAGTAAAATGTTGTTTTTCCGTATCGTTTCTGTATTTCCATGTTTCTGCTTCTGAGTTTCTGTTTCCCTGTTCAAGAGCCCTCATGGAAGATGTTCAATGTTATTAAGCAATAAAACAGTTAAAGCTCGTAACAAGATTTTTAGATTCATTTTCTTTGAGATTCTGTTGCTTTCATTTTAATATGGGGCAAAGCAATGTGATTTGATGGGGAAGAAAGAATAGAGGAGTTGGATTTTGGCTGGGATCATATTCTGGATTGTGTTTTTTCTGTTTCACCTCTTTGCATCTTTCTCTCAAAGCCACTTTCCAAGTTTCAATGTGCTATTGTAGGATGCAGTGCAAGTTAATTTGCATCCTGAAGAGAGGATTACACCATTGTTTTTTTTTTTTTTTTTTTTTTTTTTTTTTTTGGGCCGGGGGGGGGGTGGTGTTTGTGAGGAGGGAGAATCAACCTTGGTTGAGAGTTTTTTTTTTTTTTTTTTTTTTTGGGCGGGGGTGGGGGGTGGTGTTTGTGAGGAGGGGAGAATCAACCTTGGTTGAGAGTGCCCTTTCATGCCTGTTCTTTGGATATGATAAGGTCTTGAAGAAGCAAAAAATATAATTACTAAACATAAATTCATATTTGTAATGAGATGGATGTCATGGACTACAATTGGTTTTGTATTAAGAAGACTAGCAATGATTGTTTTAAATAACACTGCATTGACTTTACATGTTGTTTAATTGCATTGAATCTGATTACTGGAGTTTGCATTTTTGTGTTCATTCTTTAGGATAGCTGACAGTTGAGTCATTTATCATGTGCCCCAGGGAGTTATTATAGGTGATCTTAATTTAGTTTCAGAATGGGACTCAAGCATAGGTTGAGGCTGCTTCTTTACATAATCTCCTGTTTGAGGTGGTTGTTCCTGCAGCTGTTTTTCTAATTTGGGGCTTAGTTGCATTAAGCATGCATGTGCTTCTCTTTTTTTGCTGTCGACTTATCAGTCTTCGATGTATTCTAAATCTGAGCAGGGATTAGATATATATAAAATAAGATAAGAGTTTGGGCTGTTTGGTCATTTTCACGCTGGGCAGCTGGACCATGCTACTACTCTACATCCATCACTAATATGCATGTGATGTGGCGTGGATCCAGTCACCCATCTTGTGGAAAATTAGTGTTTCATGTGTCAAATATACTTGGATTTGTGTGTTTATGATATATCTGCTGTCGTCATTTTTTTTATGCTATGAATGTACTAATTGCACAAATTTTCTTCTGGTTCTTTTATTATGATCATTTCTTATTTTCATATTCTGGTAAGGACTAAGACTTTATAAACCAAAAATGTTCATGTATTCTGTTAATCCAGATGCATATATTGATTACCGTAGATAATCAGTAGATGATGATTAAAATTCATAACCTTGCAATTTCAGTTTCTATATATTTTTCAAAAAATGTACTTGATTTCTCGTGGTAGCTCTCTAGGATGACCTGATTCTGTTAGGGGAAATGACCTCCTCAAAAACACAGTGTGCAGCTCTTCTAGAAAAATAATTATGATGAAGGTAAGAGCTGAATGGGTTGCAATTTCCAATGTTCAAGCTGTATATAGGATTTTTTTTTTGCCTTCAAGGAAAAAGTATTTGCAATCTAGTTTCATCCAGTGGGTTCATCTAGTACTTGCTCCTGGCAATGATCTACACGTCCTCTTTGCAATTCCTTATCAATTTCTTAATTGAATTATGAACCCACTCAAAAGCCCAAAGCCCCCTCCTCCCTTCATTTTTTCAAAGGATTGGTGAAGGGATATTGTTGTGGATGAAATTTGTACCTGAGCGTTCGCACTTAGATAAACCTCACTTTTATTACCAAGTTAAGGCACCAATTGAGCATTTTTCTTTTTTGATTATGATATGGAGGATTCAATTGCATACAGAGCAGCCTCCTTTGGTCACTTTCTCTTGTTTTTTGTCTTTCAAGTTTTTGCTCTTTTGTTGATTGGGTTTTGGACAAGGTCTCCCTTATATCAGGTTTTATAACTCAAGAATTCAATGTCAAGAATTATATGTATGCAAGCAGCAATGATGTATAATATTTGCTTTCTCTGTGTGTCTGCTTGTGGCTGAATGCAAATATGACATCAGATTATGGCCTGTCCTTATTTATGTTTCGGATTCATTTGTATGGCAGAGGACCCGAGCATTAGTACTCTACCAAGCTTCCTGTTTGGGCAGTCAATGGGTGGAGCTGTCGCCCTGAAGGTGCACCTAAAACAACCCAATGCATGGAATGGCGCTATTCTTGTGGCACCTATGTGCAAAGTATTTTTCTCAACTTTATAATGTCAGTATCTTGATGATTTTGCAATTTTTGCCTTACAGAAGCTGAACCACTTATTATAGATTGCAGATGACATGGTTCCACCATTGGTAGTGAAGAGACTATTGATTGGGGTGGCCAATTTTCTTCCAACAAAAAAATTAGTTCCACAAAAGGATCTGGCTGAGGCAGCTTTTAGGGAAGTAAAGAAGCGGGAGCTGGTACATCTTTTTACTCTGAATAGATTGATCAGTGCTAAAATCATAAAAACTGGTTGTATTGTTTGGAACTTCTTGATTATAATTGCATACCGGAAGCTTTGGTGTCTCATTATTCTTTTGATCTTCCTTCACTTTCATTATTTTGGTTGGATATTTATCCCAAGCGTTTTCTTCCTCTTTTCAAATGCAGACAGCTTACAATGTTATTGCTTACAAGGATAAGCCACGGTTGAAGACAGCTTTAGAGCTGCTCAGAACCACTCAAGAGATAGAAAAGCGATTGGAAGAAGTATGTCTGCCAATTCTTTTCCTATTTTTTATTGCATGCTATGAGATTTTAACAAATTGTTCATTATTCTATTTTTACTCATTATTTCTTGCTAGAATGAGATTCCGTTTACTCTGCTCATTATCGCTGAGGTCTACCATCAGATGTCTAAGTTGTCCATTTGTTAGCATATTGTTTACATAACAAGCTGTGATACTTATTGTCTACCTAGAACTAGATCCAAGCTGCGTTGTGTTTAGCATGTTGAATGATATACTTGAAGGGGTTGGAAAAGAGTTAACACTGTTATGAATAAAGGTTTAGTGATTTAAGGAATCCTTGTGAGGAGATCAATCCAAGAGAATTGAGTTTATTAGAAATTAATGGAAAACATTTGCTATGATTACAGGTCTCTTTGCCGCTGTTAACTCTACACGGAGAGCATGATATTGTAACAGATCCATCTGTAAGCAAGGCATTGTACGAGAAAGCTCGTAATCCGGACAAAAAGCTTAAGCTCTATAAGGATGCTCAACATTCTCTTCTTGAAGGTGAGCCAGATGAAGTGATAATTCAAGTTTTTAATGATATCATTTCTTGGCTTGATGAGCATACAAAGAAACAATTACCTGCTGATTAGTTACCTATTAATTCAATTACTGCATAAACATTGAAAAGAAAAAATAAAAGAAAAATGAGTATGCTCAGATTGTTTTATTGTTGAAAAATAAGGTCCTTTTCATGTACATAAACAATTAAAACATTGTATTTATTCACATTTTTCACTTTGAATCAAAGGTTTTTACCTTTGACAGTCAGTTTTTAATAGGAAAGGTCCATTGAGCTTGTTTACAATAATTAACTTTTTCATTATTTAATTATCACTCTAATTTTACACCAAATGAAAAAAGAAGCTTAATTTTTAGAATCAAATAAAAAATTTCTATTTGGTTCGTTTCAGTTTTGTGTTTTGATTCTGAAAAAAATAACTGAAAGTTTTAGTTTTTTTCGTTTTGGTCCTTCAATTTTGTTTTCAGTATTGAGTTTTGAATATTTAATTTTGAATATTTAAATAAATATAAATTTTTTAAAAAAATTATAAATAGTTTAGTATTTAATTATTTGAGGCTATCTGAGTTGCAGGGATTAAGGTAACATTATTGTAATTGTACAATTAAGAATATTTTAAAAATTATTAATTATATCGAATCAATTAAGAAAAATAGATGATTATGAAATATAATATATAATTTAATAATTATGAATATTTTTAATAATATTTTTTTGAGGATAAAAACTGAATTATAATAAGGCGAAACAGAATATAAACTGAATTATAAAAACTGAAAAACTGAATATTTTTAATAATTTAAATATTTTTAATCATACTAAAGCTATTAAATTTATTTTATTTGATCTTTTTATTTTTATTTCATATTGTGCTTGCAAATTTTTTTATTTCTATTTCTAATACTACAAGTTTACTTATATGGCAAACGAAAAATTCATATTCAATTTTTTTTTCTTATTACTTTTTATTATAAAAAATTATTAATATATAAAATGTAATTATTCTTTATTTTATCCATTTTCACATATCGTTATGCTTAATTTTTATTTTATCCAATGTTAATTTATATATATATTTTTTGCAAAATTATATTGAAAAATTTATATTGGTGAAATTTCAATTCTTCATTTTGTTAAAATTAACAAAATAATTTTTTAAATATCTATTAGAAATTTATATTAGATTTCAATTATAATTATTAAAAAACAGTTAACTAAACTATATTGAATAAACATGTTCATCACATGTTCTTAAATACTAATGAATATTAAACATATATATAAAAAAAAGTAAATTTGGACAAAGAATGAACTTATTTAATAATCCGTTTCTATTTCAAAACACTTTATATGTCATTTTCAAAAAATTAAGAATTAATTACTTCTCTTTTAATTTTATGCTTATTTCTTGATATGTCAGTATTAATTATTTAAAAATTTAATGAATTATAATATTTTGAAATTAGAATTATTTAATAATTTTCTTAAACTTTATAGAGTTATTATCTTTAAAAACACTTAAATAAAAGGATATAACACGAAAGTAACGGAAATTTGCAACTGGTATTTTATATTAATGATAGCAACTTGTGTTGGTACACAGTTGGAGGACGAGGACCAACCTCCACAATGTTACACAAATTAAATATATGATGTGAACTACAACGTTATTAATTTGTCTGTTAAGACGACAAGATCTTATCGCATCGCAAAATTATTGGGTATAACAACTTTTCGAAACTAAATTTGGAGAGAAGTTAAATCAGATATTAATATAATATGTACGTTTGTCAAAATATTACCGTATTAGAAATGATATTTGATTGATAGAGGAGAGATGAAAAAATCCTGTTAGACATGTTAGCAACACCACGTAACGCGATTAATTTAATAATCATATCAAATATTTAAAGATGAACACGACACAAAAATTAAACGAGTGATAAAAATACGATATGTATAATCAGATTAATTAAATGAGTCATAAATGGATTAAAAAATGCAACTAGTTTAATTAAATGGGTTATATATTAGTCATAAAATTTGAGACGTATAATCCGCTTGATATATATTATATATAGTCATAAAATTTTGAAGACGTATAATTCCGCGCTTGATATATATATATATATATATATATTATATAATATATATAGGATTATACAAAGTCAATTTATATAGGATTATACAAGTCAATTTGTAAAATGAAATGTTTTAACTTGTGTTATATACGAGTCACTCCTTTATGATACGAATTTATTAAAACTCGAATCTATTAAACGAGTGACAAAAATACGATATGTATAATTAGTTTAATTAAATGAGTCATAAATGGATTAAAAAATACAACTAATTTAATTAAATGGGTAGTACATTAATCATAAAATTTGACACATATAATCGCTCTATATATATATAATTATATAGATTAGACGGATTGTATAAATCAATTCGTAAAATAATATATTTAAACTTGTGTTATATATAAGTCACACGAATCTATTCAAACTCAATCATAATACGTTTAATTTAGGTATAAGGCAAACTTATTTCCGTGCCATGCCTTAGTCATAAAAGTGCTTTGGTTGATTTCTCCCATCTCTCTTTTATTATTTTAATAAAACAGTAAAAGAAAATTTTAACCAGACCAGCAGCAACCGTGCTAATTATTGTAACTTTGACTTTCTTTTTGTTTTTCAAGTTGCCGTAGCAAGCACCCATTGCTTTCCCTTTTTCTTATTGCTAATTAATGTCAATTAGATTACACTATAACAATTTAGATGACAATAACTTGTACTATGAATAAGAAAATTGTACCATTAGCTACGTTTGTGTTAGGTTTTTTATACACAAAGTCCTCACTTAAATAAAAAAAATTAAGTTAATTTATTTAAGGCTAAGATGGTATTAATTCTAGCTTAAATTGATGCTATACTTTATGTTAATTATATTATTTTTATTAAATAATATCTGTTACATTTGAAATTTTACGTCCCTTAAAAAAACCATTAAATTTGTCTAAATTATAATAAACTATTGATAAATTGATTATATTATCTTTAATTTAATACTAATTATCCAAGAAAACCATTAAATTGAAGTAATAATTATTGGCTGTATATAAAGGGTAAATATGAAAAAAAATATTTATTACTCTTTGAAATCACAAATGTGATAAGTATTTTAGAACAAATTATTTTCTCAAATGTGACAAGTATTAATTATTTTTCTCAAACTGTGGAAAGTATTTATGGAACGAAGTCTTCTATTACAATCACAAAATATATGCTAATAAACTCCTTTTAACCTAGATGGAATATATGAAAAAAAATATTTATTACTCTTTGAAATCACAAATGTGATAAGTATTTTAGAACAAATTATTTTCTCAAATGTGACAAGTATTATGGAACGAAGTCTTATTACAATCACAAAATATATGCTAATAACTCCTTTTAAACCTAAGATGGAATTGTGGGTGGTAATTTGAATTTGCTAATTAAATCTCATAGCTAAGAGTATGAGTTTTGGTGAAGATATCTACTTTTGATCATTAGAAGAAATGCATTCGAGACTAATCCCTTGTTTGGAATAAATGAATTCCACAAAATTCATTTATAAATCTAAAATTTTTGTGCTTGTAATGAAAAAAATAGAAATACAAGGGAAAAATAATAATCCCTATTAAAATGTCATACGAACAGCAAATTAGGACAACTTCTACTAATGATTTCTTGTTTTGTTGTAATGAATATTGATCTTTAGGACAACTTCTATTTTTTCGGACTCACAGATAAGTTCAGGCTTTGAACTCTAATACTTCAGATTTTTCTATTTTGGTCTATTTCTTTTTTATTGTATACAGTTTTTTAAGTTATAGGCTTAATATCAAAATTAAATAGATTAAGAGACAAATAAATATAGCTGCTCATTCGGTTGCGAGAGCATCTATTTGCTACGCTCATCTTTGAGCGTGGCTTAAAATGAGCGTGGTTTAAGATTCCCGAATATATTGTTGAATGTTATCATTTGTATTAATGAAGTTTGGATTTTTCCTTTAAAAAAAAATAATGAATAGTCATCTCTCTCTACTCCAATATGAAATTTAAATGCATTGTTTATATAAGCAGTGACAATTAATAAATCTGCCAGAGTGTGCTCTAACATTTACTCCTTCAAAAAAAAAAAAAAAAGAAGGAATAAAAATTATTTTTTATTAAATACTGCAAGTCATTAAATACAATTCAATTGAGTCCAGTTGGTTTTTACAATTTTAATAGCATATTCATACTCTACCTACACACTGCTATTATTATTTCCAACTAATACTTTTTTTTAATTAAAAACAAGAAATATTTGAAGAAATAACATTTTCTAATTTATGAAATTTTACATATTAAAATAGAAATTTTAGAAAAAAAATTATTTTTTTTAAAATTATTATTTTTCCAATTCTAATTACAACGAGACCATTGGAATTGATAAAATTTGACAGTGCAATTTAAATTATTCTATGAATATATCATATTCTTTTATTTATTTTTTTTTGAAAGGATATTCTTTTATTTGGTTAAGAAAATATAAGTCACAATTCTCTAAATTAATAAATTTCTTCACAGCCTTAATACCATAATTTTGTAAGAGAAATTATATTGTTTTTTTTTATTAATAATGGAATTTAAACTTCTTGACTTTATATTAAAACTACTCTTTAAATCTATAAATTTTATTTCCAACCAAATGATGAACTGTGACATTAAGTGTACTTCTACCTGGTTGTGGTTTGATTCTAATTGGAAAACTAAAAAGAAAAAAAAAACAATATATTAATTTTTGGTAGTTTTCTCGTTTTGCAGTAAAATGAATATTTAATTCTTCTCATTTTGAAAACTTTCAATGCACCCAAAAAAACAGATACAACTACCATATATATATATATATATATATAAGTAACAAATTAAGTACTTAGGAAGAAGTAGAGAAGCACAAGACTAAGAGAGAGCGTTTCTTCTCTCAAAATGGTGAAGGCAGCAGAGAAGTTCCAAGGGATCTGTAAGGAACTGGACAAGTTCTTGGAAGCTAAAATGGACAGTGCACGAGAAAGAAGGCATTCCAGAGAGGCATTCAGGCAGATTCAGCTTGGGATTGATCATTGCTTAATGAAGGTTTTAGTATTCTGTTAATTTTTTTTTTCTATTAGTTAATTACTTTGTTCATTTTGTTTTTCTTTATTGCAGATACCATATGAAGGTTTAAAGATAGAAGAGGTCTGTGAAACCATGCAAAGACTATACTCATATTATAATATATATAATTAATCTTTTTATTACATTGTTTGAACAGTCTTATGAAGCTAATTCCAGAGGACTAGAAATATTTTCAAAAAGCTGGCTTCCTGAGAATTCTACCCCCAAGGCATTGATTTTCTATTGTCATGGTTATGGTGAAACATGCACTTTTGTGTTTGAAGGTATTCATTTAGTGTTTAATTGTATTAATTATTTTTATAGATAGGAAATTAATGAAGTTAATCCAATCATTAAGGATGAAAGTTCTGTTTTCTTATCAGTTTGATTCCGCCGGAAAACGCTCTAAAATATTGAAAATAATATTTTTCGATGCATTAGACGAATGTGGTCAGGGTTTGGTATTTATCTGTATATCCATGTTGAAAATAGTACTGTTTCATCATTTCCTGTAGGAATTGCAAGAAAATTAGCAGCTTCTGGCTATGGAGTGTTTGCAATGGATTATCCAGGGTTTGGCCTTTCAGAAGGTCTTCATGGCTATATTCCAAGCCTTGATAAGCTTGTCACTGATGTTGCAGAACATTTCTCTATAATCAAAGGTATAAAATTGATGGTCAAACATTTTTTATATAACTTACGCCAAGCTCAACACGAGCGAAAAGACTATAATGCTCTTAAAAAATTTTTAGCAATCTAAATATTATTGATGTCACGCTAAATATATAATTGTAAACGTACTCAGATTGTGTCCGGCACAACTTGTGCCGTTTATTCAATTCAATTAAGTTCAATTGGAGCCGCAGATTAAATGCAAAAATGATTTGATTTTTGGTGGCAGAGAACCCCAAATTCCAAGGCCTCCCAAGTTACCTATTTGGGCAGTCACTGGGGGGAGCAGTAGCGTTGAAGGTGCACCTAAAACAACCAAAAGCATGGAGTGGTGCCATTCTTGTTGCACCTATGTGCAAAGTAATTTTATTTTCATCAACTATTACATTTAATTTAATTTGTTAGTTAGAAAATATATATTATAAGCTTTAATTAATTTCATTTTCAAAAATTTTTTGTTTTTGGCTTTGTTTTAGTTTGCAGATAATATGATCCCACCATGGATAGTGGTACAAATTCTTACAGGCATAGCTTATTTGTTTCCAAGGCTAAAAATAGTCCCACATAAGAATTTTGTCAAGATGGCTTTCAGAGACTTAAAAAAGCAAGAATTGGTAATATATTTTTTGTATAAGATATATGTTTCTAACTTAATTTTATGTGAAAATAATTAATTTTATACAAAGTGCAGGCAGCATATAATGTTATTGCTTACAAGGATACAGCTCGCCTCTGGACAGCTTTAGAGTGCTTAAGAACCACCCAAGAGCTTGAACCACGATTACAAGAGGCATCTCGTTTTCCTTTTCATTTCTTTATTTTATTTTTAATTATTTCTTTTATTAGTTAGATATACACATGTATCCATGACCATAGTTCGGTTTAAATTGAAACCGAACCGGTTAAAACCGGCACTAAACTATGTTCAACGTACTTAAAATTGGTTTTCAAATTTTCACTTTGTGAAATCGGAATCGACGGTTATGATTTAAAATTGGTGATTCTTTAAAAAACATGTTCTTAGATAAATTTTCAACTTATTTTTTTTTTTGTTTTATTACAATTTTTAAAATAACTTTTAAGTATTTTTATTAAATTGGTTTTTTCAATAGTAATAGTTATTAGTATAATTTATTCAAGCTATAAATCTAAAAAATTTAAAAAGCTTGAAATAAATTATATAATTTTGGATTAACCGAAATCGACGGTTCTAAAATCGCTATAGAAACTGTTTAAAAGCAGTTCGATTTCTGTTCAATCTTTTTATAACTGGAATCGACAATTTTGAAATCGAAACTGACGGTTTTAGAATCATGGTCATACCTATACACATGTGCTATATTATTATCTAAAATATAATTTGTTTAGATTCGGTGTAATGGATCTCTTCATGTACCAAATCAATCGCGACACAGATTCTCATTTTTTATTTTTTTCTTCTTCTCTAAAATGAATAATCAGAACATCATTTTCAAAAGAAGATACTCTTTTTTAATTTGGTCCACGTGTACGCAATAGACACATAGACCAGATCTAGCATAATCATTCTCGTTTGGTTAGTAGCTCCCTGAAAATTGTGGGTATGATTTGTAGGTTTCTCTGCCATTACTAATTCTGCATGGAGAAGCTGATATTGTAACAGATCCATCTGTGAGTAAGGCTTTGTATGAGAAGGCAAGTAGTTCAGACAAGAAGCTCAAGCTTTATAAAGATGCTTATCATTCTCTTCTTGAAGGTGAACCAGATGACATCATTTTCCAAGTTCTTCATGACATTATTTCCTGGCTTGATCACCGTTGCAAAAAAGGCAATCTTTAATTTATTTATTTTTTTAGAAAAAAAAATAATGTGTTGTTGATTAATCTTGTACAACATTCAATTAAATTTCCAGAAAGTTAATTTCTCCAAGGTTCTCTTGTCTTCGAGTATTTTTACTCTTCCATAATCTACCTTCCTCTTATCATATCTAAGTCATTTTTTCATTGTTGATTTTGTGTAGCTGCTGGAATTTCATTATAATGACATTTTAAATGTTTTAGTTTATTATTACATAATAAACTCCATTTTACTTCATAAAAAAAAATATACAACTTCAGTTAAAATAATTAATTGATTAAATTACTCTTTGACAAATTATCTCAATATTCACTTTTTTTTTTATATTTAGGAGAAAAAAACAGTGATAAAGAAGACAATTTTATTAATCCAATGGAGTTAATAAAAATATAAAGGGAAAATAATTATTACTTTTCTAATTTTCGAAAATAGGGAATCAAGTGAAATAAAAACAATATTTCTAAAGTCACTCTTCAAATGAAATAGAGAAAGTAAAAATTATGATTAAAATTTTATTATTAATTGCAAAAAATAATGTTATTTGAAGTGAATGATTTGCAAAATGTAATTTTTCCCTTAAAGGAGATTAATTTGAATCTTGAAGGGGTTGAAAAAAAAAAATTTGGATCATTTCTCGATTTGTGCGTGTCATCCTTGCGCAGGGGCCATGCTAATCTTCTCTGTATCGTTCCAATTTTATCAGATGTCCCCGAAGGGACACTCTTTTGTTGGACTTACATCATTATGAAGACTGAGAATTCCTTTAACTGAACGATGTGGGAGTTTAGCTCAAATCTAACTGAAAGATGTCATCACCCGCATTGGATTACGTTATCTGATTAGGCCCGTGATCCACATTGCCCGGCGGGCTTAGCTGGAGGGCACCACATTGCTTGCGATAGCCGAAACACTAGCCCATGATTCAAATTTGTTTTGGGCTTTTTCTTTACTTATTTTCGTGCCATACATCACCCCTTTCTTTATTAAAAAAGCAAAAATCTATTTTAAAAAAATTAGTTAATTACTAAATAAAATATAAATATTTTAATTTTAATATTAAAATTATAAAGGAGTCTATCTTTTCATAATGCGATTTTCTTAATTTTTTTTTAATAAAAAATCTATGATTTAATAGAGATTTCGTAATTAACCCGTGATGTCAAGAAAAATAAAATGCAGTGGAAGAAAAAATAATAATAATTTCAACTTTAATATAAAAATAGATTTTAAATAAATATATTGTTTTTAGCCCTTTAGCCTATTAGTAGTAATAAAAAATGATAATAATTTAATAAAAGACAATTAATAATATCCAGTACAATCATATCCATGTTTATATTGATACAAAAATTCATCCTTTCCAATAGAGAAAATCAAATATCAGCTGAAAATAGAATATATCTAATAATTAAACATAAGAATCTATATAAATTCCAACTGGGAAAGGAAAAACCTAAATCAGCAACAAAAGATTGAAATTTTACTGTAACTGAATTTTAAAATTTTATAATTGATTATATTATTTGTTATTTTTAGACAGAGAAAAATATATTTCAAATAATGTGCTTTAATTTTATAAAATAAATTATTTTAAATCAAATTTTACTATATTTGGTTAATTTAAAGGATGGGAGTCTTTATTTAATGTTTAGTGTTATTGGAGTTAAACTAAAAAATACTGTTATGGGATTATTAGTTTTTTTTTTCTTTTTCAGAAATATTAGGATTTTCATTAACCAAATTCCAATTATTACAAATAGCAAATAGAAGATACTGAGAGACCCTTTCTCAGGAATGGATCTTTCAACTCTGATCTCTGATAATCCAGGATGAATCTTAACTCGGATAGGAATTTTTAACTTATAAAAAAACTAAGAGAAACAAGAGAGAAATTAATAAAGAAAATTAAAAAAAAAAATTGAGAGAAACAAGCAAATGATTATTTGCATGTCAGTTTATTAATAAATCCCATGTGAAGCCATATTCATCAGCATTAAACAAACACATGGCTGCAACCTTACAACATTAATGGAATTTGCTTCCAAAAACAATAATAATAAACAAAGAAAAAATATGAGATTTGCAACATGCAAGAACTCCATAATCCATGTGCAGTAATCAAAACCATCTAAGCAAATTATAAAAAAGACAAGAACCCAAATTATAACTCTATCCATCCATCTGCAAATACTCACAAAACAACAAATGATTTTGTGCCGGTGGGTCCTTTAACCCTTTCTATCTCCATCTTTAGACTACTTACAGCTTTTATATATTTCACTCCATTACAGTGTTTGCTCTACACTGGTATTAGTCTATTTGTATATTCATTAGTTGAACATGTAGTAGACTGTTTGTGTACTCTTGCTGTTTTAGTGCGCTATGTGGGGCTTTCCTTTTCTCCTTCTTGCCTTTCCTTCCTAAGCTTTTTGCCTGCCTATACCTATTTTCCTTTGTAGTGGGAAATACCCAACTCAACGTTTTGGCCTTTAATTATTTAAATTATTAGCTTAAACCGAATGAGGAGGCCATCATTGTTGTTGGGTATCTCTATTTTGCATCAGTCATGGCCTTCTCTTCTTGCTTGTGCCTTTCTCAAATCCCAACTAAGGTATGGGTGTTCTTTTTTTTTTTTTTTTTTTTTTTTGGCCCTTTTAATTATTAAATATTAGCCTTAAACGAATGCAGGGAGGCCAATCATTGTTGGGGGTATCTCTATTTTGCATCAAGTCATGGCCTTCTTCTTCTTGCCTTGTTGCCTTTCTCAAATTCCCCTAACTAAGGTATGGGTCGTTCTTTTTTTTTTTTTTTTTTTTTTTTTTTTTTCATATTTTTTTTAGGTAATTGATCGAGTCTCCTTTTTTGGGTGTGTGGAGAAATATTGTTATTATTGAATTGCTAGTATTTACTTGGATGTCGTTTGGGTTTTGTTATTTTGTTTCTTCAGCTAGCTTTTTCTAATATGAAAGAAGTTGGACTTTTACTTCTTGGAGGAATTTCTGTTGGATTTCAAATGGAAATTTGTGAAATAAGAATCCATCTTCAGTTCTGCAAATCCATCTTCACTGAATTTTCTTTTGGTTTAGATTAATACTAGTGGACAACTAAGGGGATTAACTCGGTTCTCATTTATGAGCTTTAAGAGATTTTGGTTTAAATTTCATTTCCTATAGATTGACTACCCAAGGCAGATTATAAGATGGCGGCCCGCTGTGGAGAAGGGTGGTTCAAAATTCTTCTTTTCTCTCAAAAGTGATAGCACTGAACTTTTTGGCCAAAGAATTGCAAGAGTGGAAGCTGACTTACTTAATAGCTGGAGTTTTCTTGGAGGTTCAAGAATTACCATTCAACCAAAACTTGCACGATCCATTGTTTACCAAAAACGCTCAGGAGTATATGCATCATGTAATCCCTTTTGTCTATGGTACTCATTACCAATATTTCATGGAAATTTACCAGCAATTTTCAATTATCCTTTATTTTCTTCTGTGGGGGTTTATATGCAAAAAATTCCAAAAATTTGCACTATTTACATCACAAACGTAGTTGGTGCTTCTTTTCTTGGGAAATGGAGATTCTTGATTTGTTTTGTTAGTTTTCTCCTTGCATTTCTGTTCTATAATAGAAAAGGAAAGTGGGCTTCAAGATCATTTCTTTTCTAGTCTTCTGTTCTATAACCATAACCAAAAGGTGTGTTAGTTGGGTGGTATCACAAACGTAGTTGGTGCTTCTTTTCTTGGGAAATGGAGATTCTTGATTTGTTTTGTTAGTTTTCTCCTTGCATTTCTGTTCTATAATAGAAAAGGAAAGTGGGCTTCAAGATCATTTCTTTTCTAGTCTTCTGTTCTATAACCATAACCAAAAGGTGTGTTAGTTGGGTGGTATCACAAACGTAGTTGGTGCTTCTTTTCTTGGGAAATGGAGATTCTTGATTTGTTTTGTTAGTTTTCTCCTTGCATTTCTGTTCTATAATAGAAAAGGAAAGTGGGCTTCAAGATCATTTCTTTTCTAGTCTTCTGTTCTATAACCATAACCAAAAGGTGTGTTAGTTGGGTGGTATCACAAACGTAGTTGGTGCTTCTTTTCTTGGGAAATGGAGATTCTTGATTTGTTTTGTTAGTTTTCTCCTTGCATTTCTGTTCTATAATAGAAAAGGAAAGTGGGCTTCAAGATCATTTCTTTTCTAGTCTTCTGTTCTATAACCATAACCAAAAGGTGTGTTAGTTGGGTGGTATCACAAACGTAGTTGGTGCTTCTTTTCTTGGGAAATGGAGATTCTTGATTTGTTTTGTTAGTTTTCTCCTTGCATTTCTGTTCTATAATAGAAAAGGAAAGTGGGCTTCAAGATCATTTCTTTTCTAGTCTTCTGTTCTATAACCATAACCAAAAGGTGTGTTAGTTGGGTGGTACAGAATTGGTATGCTGTTCTATATTTGTTTTGGAATTCTCAAGTTTACTATATTCATATTTTTTTCTTTTTAAACATTGGTTTTGCTTGGTCGTGCTTTTAATGCACTACAGTCACTATTTTTGTTGAATTGGATTCTTAAATATGTAATTTTCATTTACAATTTCCATAGTCGAATGTAATCAAATGCATTTCTAGTAAATTTTCAACTCGATACTACTTTTCCAGACAAGGATTGCTTCAAGCCTTGTTTAGAAGTTTTGGATACAATTGACTTGATCGCTTATAGTGCAGACTAGAAATTCGATGGAAAGTAGCATACCTTATGTTGTGCTTGCACTTCTATATGCATATCTACTGTGCCTCTCTTGGACGCCGGACACGCTACGACTGATGTTTGCAAGTAAATACTGGTTGCCAGAGGTACATACAGAACATAAATAACTGTACTTCTCTTAAATTTCTAAGCAAATCCCTAATTAAAATTACTATCCTTCACATTGTTGATTTAACTCTACACAGTTGCCTGGTATGGCTAAGATGTTCTCAAGTGAGATGACATTAGCTTCCGCATGGATTCACTTGTTAGCTGTTGACCTCTATGCTGCTAGGTATCTTCCTTCTCCTCCCTTAAAGTTCATTTTTGGTTTGCATTGAAATTGGAAATGAACTGCAGGTCTAGGAATATAATTCTTTTTTTTATTTATTTGGTTCACAAAGAATCTAAAATTATTTGTGATATTTCTATATTCAAATAAATTAAATTTACATTGCAGCCCCCGCAACCATGGGTGGACGATTAATTATAATATTTAGTTATTATTTTAAAAATGTAAATGCCTCAGTTTTTTAAACATGTATATACTGCTTTGTTTTTATCTCAGGCAAGTGTTTCATGATGGACTGGAAAATGAAATTGAGACTCGACATTCTGTTTCTCTTTGTCTGCTATTTTGCCCCATCGGAATTCTTACTCATGTAATGACCAAAGCACTAACCAAAACTGCAAGAAGTACCAAACATGGCACCTGATTGATTATTCTTTTGTACACTATTAAGTGAACCGGTTCAATTCAATTTCAAAATTAAGATCTCTAATTTGAAAAATTAGTAGCATTTGCGTTCTTTAGCATTTTATTTATGGATATGTTTTTTAGCTTATCTTCATCAATATTGCAGATCGTGTACACGTTATTTTTATTGGCAATGAGGTGAAGCATGTCCATACCAGAATTTGTTTTTATATAAGCAGCTAATTCTTTTTTAGGCTTAGGGACCATTTTCCCTTCAAAAGAAGCAAATTTAGAAAATCTATCTTTGAATGATTTTATTGGTTAAGAGGAGAAATAAGGTCCACTAGTCCTTCCCCCGTTCTTCCTTTTTTCCCTTTTTTATTTTTTATTTTTAAAAAAAGGTAATTCCGGAGAGAAGAAAGGACTGCTACTAATAAGGTTTGAATTTTGATCTTTACCAAATAAAGACTCAATTAATAAGACTAGTAAAAAACGGATTAATAAGATTAGGCCATGAGTAGTAACAATATGAGCTATCAAAACCACCATTCGCATGTTCAGCCTAACAGTAAGTAGAATTCCCTCTCCTCTAATACTCTAAAAAGTAGGGCTACCAAACTCCAAAAACATAAAGTTTAGTTCAGTTATAATGCAAGTTGTCTCCACCACTGAGCCTGCCGTTTGAGCTATAATGGCAAAATCTCATCAGAATCACATTTAGAGAGGAGAAATTATGCACACAACAAAACTAATACGCGAAAAAGAAAAATAAGACCGGTAGACTAGAAATATAGCTTTAGTGCTTTTAGTTAAATACCCTGTATCGACGATCAAGTTTCGAATTTCATGGATTGGAAGATATATTTCGTCATTGATACAAGTAAACGACTATGAGTTTAGTTTCCAAGATTAGTAAAGTGGGAAGGAAAAAGATTATATTTATTCTCATCTAATGCTGCAAGCTGCTGCCCTGTGATCAGATTCTAATATTGACAAAAAAAAAAAAAAAAAGAAAAAAAAGAGGAAAAGATTTATAGTTTATTTCTCCTATTATGAATGCTTGGCAAGCTGGCTGCCCTGTGATCAGGATTCTAATATTTGTACAAAAAAAAAAAAAAAAGAAAAAAAAGAATAGCAGCAGCGATGCATAAAAAAAAAAAAAAAAAAGAAAAAAAAGAATAGCACAGCGATGCATGATTCCTCTAAATGCAAAATAGCCAATATCTATCTTCCGTAGACCAATTTAGTAGTTTTATCAAAGATAAACAGTAAGATTGAATAAATAAATAAATAAAATAAAGGATAAACAGTAATCAAACTCGATCTCCTAAAAAAAAAATTACAGAAAATGGCAGAGCATGGGTGAACATGCACGTGATATGGGGAGTATAAGCCCAGAATTAGATGGTTTTGGGTAAGTTTAGAAATATGAAGGCTACAACAACAGATCAAAAAATCAAGTGCTTCGAATGCATTTACAGGATTTCTATACACTTTCCTACAACCAGTCAGCCATCAATGAGAATTATGCATGTAAGAGTATCTAACTATAGACTTGTCATTTTTCCTCAATATTCAATTTAATGCTTCATTTGCATCAGAAAAGGTGATAAGCATGTTAAAGAAAAACAGTTTACTTGCTGTGAAACTTGCTCAAAGTGTTGTGTATATCCGATGATCTTGAAAGAGAAACGTTGATGCTTTCAAGTTGGCAGTGAAGCCATTTGTATTTCTTCTTCCAGAATGCCATTTGATGGGTCTGAATGCTGCAAAGAACCCTTTTTACTTCGTTCCAAAGAGGTGGCTTGATATATGCCTATAACAATTGAACATATTAGATGTCATCAAAAAAACAAAAATACTGTGGGATGGGGGCAAAGGAGACATCAAACAAGACATTAACATGAATGTTCTTCCTACAAGTCTAGACCAAATCAACGTGTTCAATTTGTTCTTCTTGTAATATGCTTGTGTTTAAGTTTTTTTTATTTCTGTTGAGTGTTATTCCAAAAGAAAACTTTTCCAACAAGGCCCACTTATGTGATTCAAAATTTTGAACTCCATGTTATCGTTAGATTCTAACTTTGATTCTTGTAAACAAGGTACTCATTCACTGAACTTTAGATGTGAGATTGGATATTAGAGTTAATCCCTATCGAAGTTACCTCGTCATATATATTTATTTCTTCAGCTAATTTATCATCTCTGGTGAGAAAAGAAAACATAAATAAAAGAAGGAAACATCCTCCAACCATTGAAAACCCTGATGAAAATACAAAGGAAAAGAACAAGGAAAATAGATACGATATCCATAAAAAAAAAAACAAAAAACAACAATTTAAGAAAGAATGTAGGCCTAAGAAATGGCTACCCATTATGTCAAAAAAAAAAAAAAAAAAAAAAAAAAAAATATCCCTAAAAAAAAAACAAAAAAACAAACGAATTTAAGAAAGAATTGGATAGGCCTAAGAAATAGGCTACCGTGCTTGCATTATTCATGTCAAAAAAAAAAAAAAAAAAAAAAAAAAAAAAAAAAAAGATCATCATGCTAAGTGGCACCTTGTTAAAGAAAAAACAAAAATGTGTTCGATAAAATGAATCTTAAAGCAAATAAGGTTTCACTAAATAGCAGGCTGAACCCTCTCAACTTGCCTTTTATTACTAAAAATATTAGATCTCTTTTTAAATTATCTAGAAATTGTCAAATGATAGGAAGACATGCAACTAACTTTTAATCCTCTCGATAGAAGAATTATTCATATTAAAAGAAAACTCCTTAAAAAACATTCCACACTATAAGATGTGTCTATTGGTCAGACCAGAAGAAACAAAGCGGCTGCTTTTTGTATTATCAAGTAATCCATTTCTAGCAACTACCAAGGCTTTACACATACACACTGATACACAAACAGAACACAGTAAAAGAACTTGTTTACGTACCAAAGCCCAAAATCAATGCGCAAATGATGAATCCTGGTAGAGAGAAGTCCATTTTGTAGACAATTTCTAAAATAATGATGCATCCTCCAGCTACCAATAAGTGCCTTGGAGAAGAGAAAACCATGTGCAATCTACAAACAGGCAAAATTAGTTTACTCATTAACCTTAAAATTCCCTACAATCACATCAACCTTTTATGCATTGTTGCATGTCAGATACAGATATAACTTGCAGTTATAGGGAATTGTCATCTCCAAATGTTGCATCAGAAGAAAAAAAAAAAAAAAAAAATTCTTGACTGCAAAGGGATTTTGGACCTGAGCACCCAGCCAAAAGGCTAATCTATACATGTTAGATGAAATTCAAGCACATTAGTAAACTCCTTTGACAGTAACAAAGTGGTAGAATACAGTGGCTGGGTCATAAATGGTTATCCAGGCTGATGCAACGGTGCCACCATCGAAGCATCACTAAACTACAATCAAAAGAATGGCTGATGCAATTGTATGGACTTTTCTCATAAAAGAATTTATCAGTAATGGTGTTTTGAAATTTGTAAATGATGTCCCTACACATAAGACTTCCCATTTTGCTAGTTATGGATAGGTAAGCAATTTCACATTTTCCAAAGAGAATCAACAGAAAAAGACACAAGCAGTAAAATGACATGGTTAAACAATCCAAGATGCCCCTTCCATGCCGTATCATACAGTGAGGATCTGTTCATGGCTTCAAATCACTGTCAGAAACAATTTCCAGAACCCTTTTTTTTTCAAAGAAGATCCTTCGTCAAAGATCTGGCATTTTTGACATTTGATAATCACATAGTTTACAGCTCCACATGAAGTAGAATACAAAACAAAATGAAATTTGGAAGATTGTGCCTCACATATGCATGATCTATAAGAAGTCAGAGAAGGTAGTGGCTGGAATAGCAAAGGGAAGAATTTTGTATTACTGATCAGGATTAAACACATGAGAAATCAAAGGATTCAGAGAACCATGCACAGCGTATTGTGAGCCACCAGTGAATGTGATCATAAGAAAGAAAAAAGCAGTGTATATATGCTTAAGCAGCGAAACATGAATGTTCATTTCCATCCACAACAATTAGTTCATAGGAAAATACCAAGCACAGGGAAAAGGAAAAGCCAAGAGCAGCAGATAGGTAACTGATTAACATTTACCTCTCCTCTGCAACACCATCAACATAAAATATCAAGATAACTCCAAAAAGAATAGTGCTCAGAAATGCCCAAGCTGAAAACGGCAACTCAATGCTGCTATCAGAGGTTGATCCCTGAAATATTTAAAAAAAAAAAGAGCAAGAAATTCTTAATCAAGCCAAAGCTACAGTGATTGGATAAGGCATTTCCCAACATGTTTATCTAGTTAAATTTGACTTACAATAATGAAATCCCACATGGCCACAGGAAACAGAAAACACGTTGCAGAGGTAATTGTTATTGCATGAAGCCTCCTTTTAAGTTGATTCTGAAATCAAAGAATAGTTACAGATAAATGACTATTATCAATCCCACTTCTTCCCATTTCTGAAAACAGTAGTTAATTTGTTGCCCAAATGGAAAATAAACAATAGTGTAGATGGATGAACATAAGTACCTTGAGTGAAACACGCCTTGCAATTACCCTTCTTAAAGCTGATAATATTCCAGCAAGAATTGGAATTATCATATCTTTAAAGCTCAAAACTTCTTCTGTGTGGTCCTCAGCATCATCAGTGTCTTTGAATGGTATTTTCACATTAAGTTTACAAGAGGTATTTTCGAGAATTCAAAAGAATATATCACCAACAAGAGGAAATAAAGACACTCAAAAATAAGCAATCTTAATTAATGCAAATGGTATAAATATTCAATCTACACAAGGATATAAAACGGAGAATATGTAGCCATCGCCCACCCTTGAGATAAAAAGTAGAAAGACATCAGCATTGCAATCAGTCCACCTACCTGGTAGAAGATAAAACATCCAATGCATAAGTGAGAGAAAACAATTAATATCTTCTTAATCAAAGCCAAGGGGTGGACTGGTGCATTACACCATACCAGTTCAGATAGTAACTGCATACCTAAGCCTAACTATATTTAGTACCCAACCTGACCAAAACAAAATTGCACACTGGTACAAGTTTACAATATTTTGTTCCCTATCAGCAATATATATATATATAAATGAAGCATTCTAATATCTATGTTAAGCATCAAACGCCACTATGGCAGCTCAGGTAGCAAAGACGTCGGCAAAGCCTTCAGAATTTTGAAGGACACTTTTAACCCATAAAGTTCACATCAATCACATGTAAAACTCGCCGAACATAAAGTTTTTGGATTTTTATTTGCTTTGAGAGAAAAGAGTTACCTTTTTCCATAGATGGCTTCGTCGACCATATAATGCAGCAGATAATACTCCAAGAACAGCACCAGAGTACTCCGCCAATATAGCTCTAGGGCAGAATGAAAAGTTAAATAAATTAATGAACTACTAATAAAATGCAGACTAGTAATTGAAAAAACATATCAAATATGCCAAGTTAAAAGACAGCAACAGAACTACTCCAATTGACCCAGGCAGTTTTATGATTAAGCACCAAAGAAAGGGCGACCCAGTGCACAAAGCATCCCACATATGAGGGCTTTGGAGAGGGTTGATGTACACAACCTTTCCCCTACTGTTTTGTAGAGAGGCTGTTTTTGTGGTTCGAACCCATGAACTCCAGGTCACAAGTGGTATAACTTTGCATCAAACCCGCCCTCTTATGGTCAAAAAAACACAGGTAAAGAGTAATCAACATTCCATTCAGCAGAGACAAGACAAGATAAAGGATATAGAAACATCAAGTTTGGTTCAACCAGCAAGAGTATCAAAAAGTGCATCAATGTCAAAAGGATACATCTGGCTCATGAATGCTGCAACTTTCATGACTTTATTTATACAAAAATCTAAATATAATATCTTTGTCTAGAGGAGGAAAAGAAAGCTACAATTTCAAAAAAAAAAAAAAAAAAAAAAAAAACACAAAAAAAAAAAAAAAAAAAAAAAAAAATGGAACAGCCCACAAGTATAGTTCAAGTTTCCATTCATTTTCTTAGAATTTGACAAGTGATTATGGTGTTTTGGAACACAAAAAAGGAAGATCCACACCAAGAATCTATCATGTTAAATGCTGAACATGTCATGACCAAATTGGACACAAGTGTAAAAGTTGAACATCATAGGTCCCATGCCACATAAAGCACTAAGCGATGATCAACCAATTTTATCATACCATGCATACATTATAAACCATTTTCAGTAAGATTTACCTTGATGGATTATGGTTAAACTCCTTTGGTTGAAGCCATCCATATAGAAGAGAGGAAAAGAAAATGGGGTGGGGGAGATACTTATAATACGATAATCCCAGTCATCTAATTGTTGATTCAATTGAAACCTGTAATAGTTCCTACTAGTAGAAGAAAGAAAAAAAAATCTCTTAAAACACTCTTCCTCTCCATCATGTATTGTATCTCACTAAAGGAGAAGCTATGTTGTCAAATTTGCTCCACAAAAATTTCCACTCCAACCTAAATAACTGTCAATTATTCCATTAACAGTTGTTCTACACAGCTATTTCATTCAACCTGCTTTGAAGTCCACAGTTAAAATCGGACTTCATGTTCTCAAGATTATACTTAAGTTATTTTTCATCTTTTATCCATATCACTGTTTATACCTGCTAACTTTGTTCACTTCTTATAAGCCTGCATACACACATGGCAATACCATGATTAAAGTAAGGAAGGATGATGCCCCTATAAAGGTTGATTAAATACCAAAATGATGTAGCAGGCGAAGAGATTCTTTCCTAGATTTCCTTCAAATTTCCAAAGACTACTATCTGTTTGTTTGTTTGTTTCTTTCTTACAGGGTATCATATTGTCGGTTTAAAGTTTAAAAACCAAGACAGAGGATAAACAATAGAAAAATATATTTTGATGTCTGGAGAAGTGCCACGACACTACTAAACGAAACTTTGGACTTTTAAGCTTCTCACCATGCTAAATCTACAAATGAATTAGGGTTTTGAAGGTAAAATTTCTAGGTTTTGATGGATCTAAAATCAAAGACATATGGACATCTTTCACAAGTTCTCCAGAAAACCTCACTAAAATTAAATAAAACTCACGAGAACTAAAATTGGGAGCACAAGAATTTCAAAAATAATAATTAAGACACTATCCTTACTTGATGGGAGTCCAGATAGTCTGACATAATCCTTGACTAGCCTTAAAGCCTATTGATATAATTCAATATTTAAACATAATTTAGAAGCCCATAGCAACCAACATCACATAAACAAACAGTTTTCATTTATAAAGTATGATTTATATAATTTCGGCAGATTACTTATCTCAAATTTCCATACTTCACAAATTCATTAGCATTGACAATGTTCTTAGTGAAGTACAAACCTACCTAAGTGGCCCACATGACTTGAGTCCCTTTACCCACAAGATGAAGTATAAAGCTGTTATGGCACCATTTATGATAGATGGCACTACCTGAAACAACAATAAACACCAAGTAAGAAATATAAGATTGCAGAATGCTAACTAATACTTTTCACTGTTCTTTCACATGGATATTATAATAAAATGGAGGTATTCCTACTTAACTTGTTGATTAGAGAGTGGTCTCCCCTTCCAAGGCTTTTGCAAAGTTAAGAACAGTATGGACGATGGAACCAGACAACTAAAGATAAAGAGTACCACTGAAGCACCGGTTTGAGACAAATAACGATACATGGAGTAAACAGACCATATTCTCAAGAAGTTTCCAATAATATGAATTATCTGCAAAGGGGTGTGCCTGTAAATTAAAAAAAAAAAAACAATTATTTTTGTCAATCAATTTTGCTATATTAAAAGACCCAAGTAAGAAAAATCATATGATACAAACCGGTTGAATAATATAAAAACAAAAAAAAATGCCATTCAAACACATTTGTTCCAACTAAAAAAGATTGTAAACAATGAATAAGTAATTAAACCAAAAAGAAATTTGCGGCATCAAACAGGATTCAGAGTTTAAGTTAGACTTGAAACGATGTCAACCATACTAAAGTGAACAAGTATGCAGACCGCTGTTTTGTATATCACATCTAAGTGAACATTAAAGACTAAACAGTCAAGAAAAACATGTTTCATTTCCCTAACTTAAGGAAGAAGCTATCAAAGCTACACTCAGCTCAATTAAGCCCATTGTAAATTGATTTTAAGGATTTATTTTTCTATTCACTTATTTATAGAATATGCTAAACCAAAATAATCAAAAGCACAAAACCTACATATTATACTCAGTTTTCCTTACTTCAATTTTCTTAACAACAAGCAATGCTCAAATAAATCCAACACTAAAACACAACAGATCAAATTAGCTACCAAATACAGAATTTAAAAGAGAAAGTTGCAAAAAAAGGAACCATTCCACTTATCCATTTCTGTCTTAATCTCTGTTTGGTCAATGAGAAAGTACTGCTAACAGGATGTGAAACATTTTAAAGTATGGCAATAACAGAAAAGCCTTAAAACTCAATTTCCTAGGCAGAATTCCACTATTTTCCTCGGAAACAAACAGAAATTAAGGGTAAGGATTAGCGTAAAAACTTGAATACCTGAAATGAGGAGATCCTCTATCTTCACCGGTTGGTTTCGGAGACATCATTTTGCTTCTAGGGAAAGAAAATTGAATCGAACAGTTTCGATCTCTGTAGCTCAGTAAGTCTGCAATATAATGCAGAAATAAAAGGCAAAGGAGCTTAATTAAATTTCTAAATCGAAGATTAATGACTGATTAGTAGAATATGTTTGTTTACGGTGCTTCAGTGTTAAAGAAAGCCGAAGTTGAGCCTCTCAAGGAACAAGACGAAACACTTCTCTCTCTCCTCATTTCTCTGTAAAATGAGACTGAACTTAACAGAGTTGGACCTTTTGTTTCAATTGTTGGGCTTTCGAATGATAATCCAAGATTGGTTTCCAATTCTCTCTTTCTTTTTTTATCATCCAGTTGTCAATTATCCATTTAGATAATTATTAATGCGAGTAACTAAAATTTGTAATTAATAATGAATAAAAAAATTATAATTAAACGTTTCGGGGCCCAGAACAATTATTGTTAATATTAGAGCTAATATTTTTATTTTTAAAATAAATGATAAATTTAATTAAATTTTTAATGGATTGGATAGAATTTGTCGATAGAACATCGGATGGTCTTCCCCTTTAAATTTGATTTTTCCATTGACAATTTTAGTTTCGATAACCTTCTATCGAGCAATTGCATTATTTTTAGAATTATTTTGAAACTTGCACTATTAATTTGATTATTCTTTTTGCAAAAAGTATTATTTTTTTATAACCCTATAAAAAGGTATTATTATTTTTGCACTATTAATGAGAATTAACAATTTTTGGATTAAAGAAGGAAATATTACAGTACAATCATTTTAGTTCGTAGAATATAACTAGTTCGTCCATATTTTTTAGAAAATAGATTAAAACATCCTTAAAGTATACTTCCGACATATTATAAGGTCATTTCATCTAATTTTTAAATGTTTTCTGTTAAGTACCTTACGAAATGACGAAAATATCTCTTTTATTCTTAAAAATACAGGGATGGACTGGTTGTATTTTTCAAACTATAGGGATTGTACTGTAATATTTTTAGTATAATATTTTAGTATCTCTCTTTTAACTTTTATATTTTCTTGTTGACTTAACGGAAGAGATACAAAAATTAAACAAAATGACCAAGTAATATAAATGAAGCAAAATATAAGGACAACTTGATATATTTTAAAAAAGATAGAGACGGACTAATTGTATTTCATAAACTATAAGGATCATACTATAATTTTTTCTTTAAAAAAAAAAAATAAAAAGTTATTTTCCTCTTATGTGTTTAGATACGATAAGAAAATAAAATTAATTTCCCCTTCACTAGTTCATTGTTATAATTTTTTTTTCCATGTTTCTTCCAAATTGAAAAGAAAATTCATTCTCTTTCAAAAAAAAAAAAAAAAAAAAAAATTGAAAGAAAATTAAAAAAAAAAAAAAAAAAAAGAGTAATATTCTATTATTATTTTCTTTTCTCTAATGCATGTTTTACCTCCATTCATTAGCCTCAACCATTAACTAGGATTCAAATGCCATTATTTGGAGAATAATAACAGAAATCCTTACTTGGGAGATAAACTAAAAGCCTTTTCCATGAGGATGATGGACTCATTATTGAATATAGGAGACCAATTCAAATTGTATATTCAAGCATCAATTTGTACTAAAAGTGAAAATTGGCTTATATTTGCATTAAAAATTTAGAATTTAATATAATCCAATGCTTAAATTTGAATTTTGAGTACGACAAGGAGGATCATTAAAAAGAAAAGAGCTATATTTTTATTAATCATCTTATTGTTTTTATATAAATAACCCAACGATTTTCAGAATCATATAGAACATTTGATCGTATAATAAAACTATGTTTATATATTATATAATTTCATTTAAACTCTAATGTACCAGACAAAAAGAAAGAGGCAAAGAATTTTCTCGTCCACATATTAAAATTTTTGAATTGAAAAAGAAAAAAGAAAAAGAAAACTCTAACTTAAAATGGATAATGAAGCTTTACTATACATCCACTGGAAGAAGAATGACTTGTAAACATCCAATGTATGCACATTTTATCACTATTAGAGGCATTTTCTCTTACAAGCCCTAAAATTAGGGTGCATACCTACGTGGTACATTTCCAAAATGTAGGAGAAACAATATAAGATTAGATCAGACAACCAGACAGAAAGACATGTAGACAACCAAAGATGGATCCATATGTATAGATATGTACACACATGTAAACATTAACATCTTGAGAGTCACCTCAAATTTATAGATGGCTTCTTTGTTCTTTTACATACAAATACATATCTCTATCCCTACAATTTTGGCTTTGCTTTCTCAATTATTTTTGTTTCTTAATGTGCATGGCCAATCTTAATTGATCTTATTGCTATTCCCAAATTACCCTACTCTTATGTGGTGCATATATACATGGGTGTACGTGGATGCAACAAGATTACATAATTTGAACATGGGAAATATAGACATCGATGTGATCTAACTTATTGAAAATTTTATGAATGACTTACTTCGGTAACTATATGATTAAGCCTAAAAGATATTATTAATTAATTATATATATCGAGGAATCATTAATGTAAGATATAGTAAAGTATGGCAAATATTTTTTTTGCATTTGTAGATAAGGTATGATAATGTTAAATATAAAGATTACGAAAATACCCTTGTCATGGAAGATTTATAAATATAGCTATAGATAATTTGGAAAATCAAATTTTTTAACCATGTTTATACTCTAGTTCGGGGATTAAAGATTAGGGTGTTTAGATGAAATTTTCAACCCCTCAAATAACTTTAAAAAAATCATCACTGCCTCAAAGTCTCTTTTCAAACGGCTAAATAATCTCTCTTTACCCTATCTTACTATACAAACCCGCCTAATAACCTCCATCAAAACGATCTGTAAATTTAAAATCTGGTTTTCTGCTCATGTAGTATAGGTTATAATTACATGTTAAACAGATTCTGATTTAGTGTAGGAATTTATGGACGAGTCCCATGACGGTTGTATAGACCTGGGTCCATTATATATTAATTAATTTTTAAATATAAAGAGTTTCAAACGCAAAGGAGTGTATTGTTGGGTTTAGGATTACCCCCATCAAATTGCTAAGGCGAGAGCTCTTAGGCTGTGGTCAAAGGGAGTCTTCCATTCGTCGTAATTGCTCCTACGACAGTAATACGAGGGTTAAAGATTGTTTATTCGACTTCCATATTTTATTTTCACGTATGGGTATATGAATTTTGACAGTTAGGATATATGGGAGGCTCACCACTCAAGCAAGCTCAAAGCTAGCAGCATCTACATGGGAATCACACAGATGAAGAAAGAACATATAGTCTGTTAGATTTGTGCATGCACCCACAAAAAGCCAATTGAAAATTTGTCAAAAAAGGAGTCAAGAAATGGAGACTGGTAATGTAGATGTTAGAAACTTTTAAAGATTCTTAAGGTATCTTTTTCATTTAAGAAATCTTTGAACCCATGTTGCTTCATCCTCTTGTGAGCATAATATGGCCCATTTCAAGCTGTCTTCTAACTTATATCTTTGGATGCAATGCATCTGTAATTAATTTCATTTAAAAATAATAATAATTTTTCTCCCTTTAGTGCCCCCTCTATAATCATTCAGAAATATGAATTGGCAACATCCATGAGATTCTGTTCATCTCTATGTTTGTAGGACCAGTTTTGGATAAATCCTTAATTTGATTATGTTGAATGTTACAACTCCTCTGTGTGATTCTATTTGGAAGCCTGCTTGTCCGTCCAAAACCAGAACTGTTGTTTTCAATCTGATAGAAACCCATCAGTAATACAAAAATCTGATAGAAATCCATCGGAAAAGGGTTTCTAGTGGAAATTTTCTTGATCCATAAAAATCGAATACTTAACTTTTTACTCAATGGAGTATAGTTCTTTCCACTCAGAACAATCCTATTAGTTGAATTAATTGAATTTAGAGAGCAATTGTTAACATCAATATTGTGGCCATGAACATTGCTTCCCACTAGAATGATCACAAGTATTGAGGGTGGTGATAGAAACTTACCACCTAAAAGAATATCAAACACCAGAAAGCTATTAAAAGAAAGAGCCATTCACTTGCTTGTAAAGTCTATTTCTTTTGGACTGTTGTAATTTATAATGTCTGTGTACTTCATGCATAGTTGGTCCAGCTGTTCACTGGACATTTTTGTTCACAATTGATTTGGCCATAGGAAATGTTTTGATCAATAGTTAACATTTTATAGACAAAATTGATTCATTGAAAAGGATAATTAAGTGTGTTTGCATAGATCAATCACTTTCACATTTTATTCAATCAATTGAAATATGGACCCATTTGGATTAACAGTGTCATGAAATATAATTAAATGTAATTAAATGCATTAAAATGTATTTCCTTCCATTACATTTTATTTTAAGACTTGACACTTTTTTTTATGTATTCTCAAAAAATCTTAAATAAGAGAAAAATCTAAAATATTAATTACGGGCTGGCTCTTAATCGATTACCAAATGAGGAGTAAATAAACATATTTGTAGGGGTTATAATTAAATTATACATAGTTAATTATTATTAATTAATTAATGGAATGTTCATATATGGTAGGGTTATTAATTACTTATGAACAAGATTCTGTTGACAATTGAAAACTCTCTACTATTCTCTCTTAGTGCAAGCCTAAAACCAGAAATCACATGTGCAAGTGTCTGGTAAAATTGAGCAACACCAAACCATACAAAAGCCAAAATTATAAAATATAAAAATAGAACTAATTAATGAAAAATGTGTTTAAAAAAAAAAAAAAAGCCAATCCATCCATGAGAAGTCAAGACCTAGTCATACCCAGCTGTGCTTATTACTGCTGTTGCCGACAGGTCAAAATCAAAGACATAAATTACTTCAGTCAAAATTGGAAAGGAGAGAGAGAGAGAAAGATAATTGGTTCATCCTTTAATTAATATTGAACAAATAAACAGAAATATAATGGTTTTTTGTACTTTGTTTCTTGGCCTTTTTGTGAAGTAATGAAAAAAAAAAAAAAAAAAAGAGAGAGAGATAGGAAGCTTTTCATGTGCTTTCTAGCAAACAACAAAAAGAGTAATAGCCAAAAATGGAGTCAAACGGACCATGTAGACTGGTAATAACTCAGCTCTCCATATCCTTCTCTCAACCATTTCTGTGTCTCCTGTGCCCCAGATGAACTTGTAACCTGCACCATTATATGGGTATTCTCGTATCAACTTACGGAGTATCGAGATTAAGTATTACTTTCGAGCGATTTTAAAAATATGATGCCTTTAGAAATATTATTTTTAATATTTTTGGAGTCTACTCTAGCAGAATAGAATCCTGCAGGTTGACAAGGTAAGAGAAGGTTATAGCCTAGACTAACTATTTTAGTGACATATTTATAGTTATGATACTGAGTCCCACATTATCAACTAAGCATACGAGCTTTATAAGGCCAAGCAAACACCTCTCTTCAGCGCTTTTCTTTTAAAGACAAAACTAGTACTTCTTTCGGGGTATGTTTGGCAAAATTAACCGTTTTAGTAGATGTTAACTGTTTTAATAGCATTTAGCTGTTAACTGTTTGGGTAGTTTTTTATAAAACATTAAAAGCTAAATGTTTTATGAGTTAATTTTTCACAAAATGCTACATTAATCTCTAAAAGCTAGTTCAAATGATATGCTACCGAACACTATAAAAAAATATTATTTAACATTTTAATTGATCAAAATACTAAAAGCTACTTAAAAAGTTTTTGCCGAATAGAATCTTAGCATATATAGTTTACTTTATGATATAGTTTGCTTTTACAAAAGAAATCTATTGGCCATTTCTTGTAATAGGTTAGGCAAACAAAATAAGGCAGCCCAGTAAGGACTCAAGATTTTGTAAGTTTTCTTTTTATTATTATATCAGAAAAATAGCTTGAAAAAGTTATTGGAAAAGCACCTGAACCTTTTTAGAAGATTCTGTTTCCAAGTTGAGGTCATAACAACAACTTGCTGCTGCAAGCTCCATAGAGAGAAACTGAATTTTGGGAAAAAGAAAAAAAGATTAAGAACAATGAACTGTCAATCCAATCTGTTGGTTATATATGGAATTCTGAGATAAAATCATAAAGAATTTTGGATATTAAGCTTACCTCAACCTGATTCTGCAATGAATGGACATAGTTAATTATCTCCTCCAGCATAACTGCCATTCCCATTGACTGTAAATTCATACAACGCATGTCAGGATATTCATACTTTATATAACTCTCTCTCTATGTATATATATATGCAGAAGAAGGTTCTACCTTGTGACATCCAGGAACAAGGTCTTGCAAACATCTCAACTTCTTGTTAATTTTTTCTCTTCTGACCTGAGAACATTTCTTTATATAAGCCAAACCAATAAATAATACTCCAGTTTCTTGAATTATGCATTTATATAGTAAAAGAAACATACAAACTTACCCTTTCTGCTATGCTATGACTATCAGTAGCTTGGCCTCTTTTAGCTCTAACATGAATAACTTCTTCCATTTTCTCAACTCCTCCTCTTTCTTTGTTCTTCCATTTCTTACCTTTGTCTAAATTCTGCAAACAAATAATAAGAAATATATAATTAAATTTCAAAACTCAAATGAATTTGAAAAAAATTTAAGAAATAGACAGAAAAATACATTTTTTTTCTTTGTACTAGTTATTACAGTAGAGGCGGATGGAGAACAAATCTGAGAACCGCTAGTTGATTGTGCTTCTGCTTTTCTTTTCTTATTGTTGTCAGGAAAAATATTTTGGCTTGAAGCAGAGTTGACAGAATGAAGGATATGTGCTGAGTTCAAGATATCAGGATGGTTTAAAGCATTTGAAAGGCTATTATGAGCATAGTTTGCAGGAAATTGATCAGGTTGTGTATGGCAGTGGTGGTGGTGGTGGTGCGCCAAGAAAGAGTCTAATGAGAAATCGGAAATATTGAAAGTATTTGGATTTAGCTCTGGAAGTTGCTTAAACGTTTGTATGCCCATTTCCATATCTGTAAAAGGTTGGTAAGAATTAGGTCTCAACTTCTGCAAATAATCTGTGAACTCAGCCATCAAGAAAATTTTTTCTCTAGGTAGTGCTAGATAGAACCTTTAATGTTGAAGAGGAAAGGATTGAGAGTGGAAGTTATGAGGTTCTGTATATATATGTGTGTGCATTAATAGGACTATTTAGTGTTCTTCACTAATAAAGGGTTAATTACAAAAAAATCCATGAGATGTTCTTCAATATACATTTTGGTCCTCATTTTTTCAGAATTAGCAGCTTTAATCCCTATGTTGCCATTAATTTTAGAATTATGAGCACCAAAATACGATCTAACTTAGGCTCTATTCGGCAACATATTTTGAACTCGCTTTTAATGTTTTGACCAAATCAAAACTATATCTCTATTAATTTTAACATTCATTAAAATAGCTTTTTCTAATAGTTTTAGAAGTTGAGAGAGTTTTTTTTTTTATAAAACATTAAACACTAAGACGTTAGCTTTTTAATTAAAATTTTGTCACTATTATATAAATTATAACTAATAGAACACCTTACTACTACAACAGATAACAGCTATTAAAATAATTAATATTACCGAATAAACCCCTAGAATTTTAGAGGATTAAAATGAGATAATTTCTAATTGAATGATTAAAGTGTAGAGTAATTAGAAATCTCAGGGACTAAGATTTCTAATTTTTAGAGCACTAGAAATGTAAAATGAGACAAATCTTAAGGGGTATTTTGTAATTAATCCATTAAAAAGGAGATAGTAACATGCCTGTGTTGGCCTATAGCAAAATGCGAGTATCAACGTCATTGTGTTATGCTTTACAGTTGAGTGAAAAGATAATGATAAATAATCAACGCATGAAGGTTCATTTTCTGAAGTGTAATTCCTTTGGTAGGTCCATGTAAAGGATATGCATTTATCCATTAATGTGGGGCCAGTATAAGGTTTTAGAGGAAAGACTAAATAGATGATGAAGTGTAAATCTCCTTTTCTTTCCTTTTTTTTTCTTTTTTTACTTTGCCAAAAAAAAAAAAAAAAAAAAAAAAAAAAAAAAAGCCAAAAAAAAAAAAAAAAAAAAAAAAAAAGAAAAAGAGAAAAAAAAAAAAAAAAAAAAAAAAAAAAAAAAAAAAAAGAGAAAAAGAATAATAAAGTTTAGGCAGTAAATTGTATAGGTCTTCTATTCCTTTGGTGGCTGCTTGTTGACAAAAGATTAAAAAGTTGAGCAGAATCTCCTTTAACAAGGAGCAATAGGAGATTTCAGAGTCTTTTTTATCATAAATTTTTTTCTTATTTTAATGAAAGTGGTTGATTAAAAAAAAAAAAAGATTTAGTGCGTTTTTGTTTGAGCTTATTATAGTTTATTAGACGAATATTTTATTAATTTAGATTTAAAAAATTAAATTTAATTATTTTATATTTTCAAATAAGCAAATCATTTGAATATGAATGCAAAAAATTTCGATTTAACTTAATTTATAAGCTGTATAGCTTTTTTTACCATAAGATAAAAATATTTCTCACCTAATATTTAAAATCACAAATTATATCCTACAATGTAAAAGGGACTTTATATTAGATATAATTTAATTTTATATTTTATCATGTTGGGTCATATACTTCAAGAAGTGGATATAATTTAATTTTATATTTTTTGAGTTATTATCAACTATTTTTATCTTTTGCATAATTAATTTATAACATTTATCATTAATATTGTAGATTAATATGCATTTATATTATTTACAATCATATTATGCAAATAGTTGAATAATAATACATTTGAGTTTATCATATATAATGTAATACCAATTTTAATATTATGTCAAAAATACATAATATGTAAAAATACAAAAGGTCAAATATGTATAAAAAAAACACAGGTTCAATTATTCAGATATCTCATTTACCAAACAATCTTAATTATTCAGTAATAAGCTCTTAATACAACTCTTTAGTCATGCAGTTAAATAAGCTACTGATTTAGATTTAGCATTCAGTCCAAATAAAGGACTCATGTTTATTGTATAATCTGTAATTTTATTTCAATTATTGTTTAAGAAGGATTCATTAAGGAGTCAAATGAGCTATCATAACACTGCTGCCATATAATAGAGGTAGCTTTCTTTTAACATCATGAAATTAATAAAAATTCTTATGATCGATAAAACTCAAATTATTGTTCATTTTGTTAAATATTAATGAATACAAACTGTTGAGCAAAATATTTCTTCTATAGATGTTCTACAACAACTTTTAAGTATTTTTTACGTTATTTTTATATAGTGTTCAGTAACATAGCATTTTGAACTAATTTTTAAAGATTAAGACAGTGTTTTTAATAAAAGGTTAACTCTTGTAAACTTTAACTTTTACCATTTTCTAAAAAGCTACTTAAATATCTACTAGCTAAACACTAGTCAACAGCTAACAACCGTCAAAATAAATAATTTTACTAAACAAACCTTATATTCTTTTTATCTAAACATGATATCGGAAGCGAATTGTGCGAATTTCAATTTTAACTTACTAACTATTGTACATTACCTCTTTACAAAAAGCAAGAGAATGTAGTCATAAAATATAGATAAACAATGGTCTCCTAAGTGATGAAATAAAGAACCTCAGAAAAAAAAAAAAACATATAAAAAGTAAAAATGGATATATAAAATTAAGGACAGCCTCTTTTAATCTCGTAAAATTAATGAAAACCATTGTGGCTAAAAGACTGAATTAGTATTTTCTATTTGATGTTAATGAATACGAAATTATTATTAAAAAATACAGCTGTAAAAGCATGATGGTTGATTGGAAAACTTTAAAATGTTAAAATATTAATATTAACTAATTAGCTAACTAGTTTGTCATCCCTATACATCTTTCTGTGAGTTTGCTATTTAGTCCACGTGGATTTTCTAACATAAAGAAACCTAACCAGCCACATGATAATCGAGCCCTTCATACAAATTCCATTTTGTCCAATTCAAAAATCCCACTAATAAGGCCATCTCCAATAGGGCTCTTTACTTTGTTAAGGTCAGTGCAACAGTTTGTGTAGAAAACTAATTTCTGATTTTTCTATAAATTTTAAATAGGTGGTTTAAGGAAAACTCCATTTCAGTAAAAGGATATTTACTTTCACAAATATTAATTTTTACCTATGAGGAAAAAAAAAGTGAAAAATGAAAAAAAGAAATTGAAAGTATAACTCCAACTAGTAACTAGTGGTTAGAGATGGGTTATGTAAATAATTAGGAAAAAAATATAAAAGGAGTATGATGTGATTTTGCATTGAAGCGTATTTCATTAACAATTAAAATTTTGTATTTTCTTTTTGTTCATATCACAATTGTCCTTAGAATGGGCTAAACCTAAACTTTAATTATTAAATGGGACGTCATCCAGCTAAAGAATTAGGTGGATGGATTATTAGTTAAACCGGTAGATCAATAGTTTAGGGTTATAAAAATATTAATAATTCATATTAATTAAACAATTATAATTTAAATAATTATAATACAATAAAAAATAATTAAAATATTAAAAATTCGTCTATCAATTAGATCTGTATAAGTCAATCAATTCAATCACGGGTCAGCTGAAATCGCTAGTAATCACCGGTCAGTCATTCGACAATGAATTCATTCCAGGGCCTTGTACATAGCATCCATCACAAATGAGAGCTGGTCATGCGTGAAGTCATTATTTTCATTTCAATCCGATTCTTCTCTTTAAATGTTGTAAAACAAAGACTCGATTTTAATGGCGGTTCACCTGTTCACCGAGTTAGGCGGCCGCGTTTAATAAGTATGCTTTGCATTTTTACTTTATTTTCTAGGGACGAATGACCTAATCGCCGATATAGACAGGTGGTTAAGTTAGTGCTTCGCAAATAACAGAAAACTGTAATAACTAATTAATAACAGAAGAACCCAGTTGATGAATGACACTGAAAATGTTAGGTAAAAATGTTACCAAAATAACTGCAGAGTTAAAAAAAATAAAAATAAAAATGTTTCCAAAATAACTGCAGAGTTAAAAAAAATTAATAAAGTACAAATACAATTTAAAAATAATTAAAAACAGATATAATTATTTAGTATTGAGAAAGGTTAGTTAGCTGAACTTGACAGCAATGGCTGCTTCTCTTCTATGTCTCTTCCAGCCAAACTTCTCACTCCCCAAAAAGACCGTAAAGCCCCATTCTGTTCTCCACAAATCGAGCAAAATGAGGGTGCCCTATGAGTTAAAGCAGGGGCAGAACCGCCTTTTTCATCAGCTTCCATCTGGGCTGAACATGGAGGTCATTGAGCAGAAGGCTAATAATGAAGACCCACGTACGAGAAGCAGAGAAAACCCACCTTTAGTTTTCGTTCATGGAAGCTACCATGCGGCTTGGTGCTGGGCTGAGCACTGGTTGTCCTTCTTTTCAAGCTACGGTTATGATTGCTATGCCCTTAGCTTGTTGGGTCAGGTCATTTCTCTGCATATAATTATTAATTACCGATAGATACATGTTTATTGTATTTTAACAAAATTTTTACTTATTTATGTTGCTGCATTATAGTTGAATTGTTAACTTGATCCAGTCTTTAACTTTATACTTTAGCTTATGTTGATTTTAATGCTAGATTAGTCCTAGTTCATATATATGGAACAAGGAATTTTATTTTAATAAATTGCAATTTCCAATTGCTTTGTTTTTTCAAAGATTTATTAATTTGGCTTTTTTTTTTTTTTTTTTTTTTTTTTTTTTTTTTTTTTTTTTTTTTATTTTTTAGAAAATCATATGATAATTGATTTTTTTTTTTTTTTTTTTTTTTATTTTTAGAAATCATATGATAATTGAAAGTTATTCATAGTCATTGGGATCTGAAATCCATTTAGGTGTTGATAGACTATATGACTTGAGGTAAAACTTCTGTGAGTATATAAACCTGACCAATATGAAAATCAGGACTCAAAACAGTAAAATATTCTCTTCCTATTAGCTTATTTGTCATATATGATTATGTATTGGAATATAGTTTTGATTCTCAATTTTTATGCACTTAGTCTTTCTTCTGTACTTCTGTAAAATGAAAATCTAGACACAATGCAGTTGGGCCTTTTGTCCTTTCCTTTCTCCTAATTGTATGTAATCAAAGTTTTCTTCCTATAGTAGTTTTCTACTGAAAATTTTATGGTCAATTTGAGTATAGAATCGCATATTGTTAACCATTTTCTTTGATAATTTCATCCAGTTCTTAGAAGAAAGGTTTTGGATTGATAAGGTCTGGAAGAAAATGTAATCCTTCCAAATAATTGCTTCCCATGAATTCTTAGCAACAGAGGAAATGTCGTTCTTTTCCTGCTCCGCTTATTTTCAGAACTGTATAAGCTTGTTTTGGCACAATTTAATTAGCTTCCTTCCTTTCCCTTGATAAAATCTTTTTCTTCATCAAAATAATAAAAAAAAAGTCGAATGCTTTAGTGTGTATTCTTTTTGTTTATTTCAACTTTTTTTACCCTTTGGGACATGTGGATATATCCCCATTTTTTGCTTCAACAACTTACTGTTCATAACATTAGCCACAAGCACCTCCATTTTATCTTAGCATTTTAAGGTTGGTAATTTTATGTTGGTGCCAGGATTAAAGTGCTGGAATAAATTAGGCTTCTGATATTTCACTGATTTGGTATGTGTTGCCCACTTGTCTACAGGGTGAAAGTGATGGACCAGCTGGTTCTTATGCTGGTTCTCTACAGGTATTTTACTTCTCCGGTAGAAGATAAACCCTTTGAGGTTTTAGCAATGTTTCTAAACATTCTAGCTACCATCCCAAATAGATGAAAATGCTCAATTATTCTTATTTCCTGTTCGCTTTCAAATTCTGCAGTAGACACATGCAGGTGATGTTGCTGACTTCATCCACAAAAAACTGAAATTGCCACCAGTATTGCTTGGACATTCATTTGGAGGGCTAATTATTCAGTACTACATTGCAAAGATAAGAAATGAAAAATTAATAGGTGATCTTCATCTTCTTATTTTTAGGTAACCATCATTTAGGAGTTGATAAGTACCATGAATCTCATGTTGATGTCGCTCATTGGACTGGGAAATGATTGTTACTTGAATATATTTACAACCTTTTCGTCATTAATGTTTATAATAGAGAACCAACAAAATGTTAACCATGTTACAATTTTCTTTGGACAAAGCCCCTCCTGAAGGGATTAACACTGAGATTCAAATCTGCTTCAATATCATACGTATAAAACCTGTAGCAGAAGATATGTAATATTCATAAAAATAGCCATGGTTGTTTTATTGCTTTACAAAAGGTACTGCTTACCCGTTTACTGATTTTCATTTTATTCTCATTGGGCTAAATTCAAGAAGTGAAGAAGCAGTATCCTGATCTTGTTGGAGCTTCACTTATCTGTTCTGTACCTCCTTCAGGCAATAGGTAACTTCACGCGTGTCTATAAATATACTATTCCTTCAGTTGATCTATAAATATCCCTGACTGGAATTTTGTTTTCTCCGAACAGTGGGTTAGTCTGGCGGTATCTGTTTTCCAAGCCTATTGCTGCTTTTAAGGTACCTGCATTAGATTCTGAAGATGAAGCTTGCATTTCTTTATCCCCTTATCAATCTTGCGACGTGAATTATGAAAACTTAGATTAACTCCTTTCAGTTTTCATTTTTTTAATTCACCTGAAGTATAATAGTACTGATTTCTCTTTCTATTTTTTACTTAAAAATGAAGTTCTTGATGTTCTCTTTTATCTGTAGAAAGTTTATTTTAGAATTTGTATAAAGAAAATATTGTTCTCTTTTAATTGACATTCTAGGCTTCTGTTGTTTGTTGAATTCTCGATCTTGGAAAGGAAAAACAAAACTCATTTGAACTGTGAAACAGGTGACTCGCAGCTTAGCAGCCAAAGCTTTTCAAACTGATCTCCCTCTTTGTAGGGAAACATTTTTCACATCAACAATGGAGGATCATTTGGTGATGCGGTTTGTCTATGAGCCCTTTAATGATGGTGGTGACTCTTTATGTTTTTGAAATGAAATATGGCAATTAACAACATACATTTATGCAGTTATGGTTGTACATCATTTTATCGATTTAAGCATACATTGGCCTAAGCATTCAAAATCCAAAATTATGCTATGAATCTAAAAATGAAGCTCAAGTTAGAAATTTTGGAAATTACTATTTGCATGACCTAATAAGAGAGAGTTGTAAAATCAACTAATGCTTGGTAAGTAAAGAAGCTGAATCGGTTAGGGAATAAGATTAATTTATGCTAAAACTACCATTGATTGTTATTTTACTAAGATCAATTTGAATTATGGGGATTTATTTATTTATTTATTGATACCAGACTAATTTTTTTTCATTTGAATAGTTCCTATGCTGAAGCCTCCATATTTAGCCAATCTGTTTTTATTTTGTTTTTTCTCAACTGTGTTAAGCTTAAGAAAATTTGACTTCTAATTCACTGAATACTAACTAAAGGTTTGTTTTCATTCAACATGAGAATTTACTTGTTGGTTTCTTTCAGTTACCAGGAGCTAATGAGAGAAAGTTCAAGAATGCCATTGTTTGATCTACGGAAGTTAAATGCATCTCTTCCAGTTCCTTCAGTGCCAAAATCTTCCATTGAGGTCCTTGTGGTCGGTGCAAGTGATGACTTCATAGTGGTAATTTTTATGTCCAACCTATGCAATTTTTTATTGGTTAACATGACTCTGACCTCTTAAATTCTTAACTCAGAGGTCCCAACATTCTTTTCAATTATTCATTGTTTTTCTTCATAAGAAAGTTCGAAAATTTATCTCAATGTATGCATCACTTCACTACTCTTTAAGATATTCTGTTATATTGTTTCCTTGTCCAAGTTGCTTCTTTAATTGGCTTGAAAAATTGTTTAGGATGCCGAAGGACTCGATGAAACAGGAAGATTTTATGGTGTGACACCAATCTGTGTTAAAGGAGTTGCTCATGACATGATGTTAGATTGTTCATGGGAGAAAGGCGCGAAAGTTATCTTGTCATGGTTAAATGGTTTGAGAACATAGAATGTCATTCCAAAGGAATTCATCAGTGCACAGAATGGCATTTTCCTCAAAACTAGTGTGTCTGGGCAAATGCAAGTGAGAGTTGTACTGAATGTAGCATAATCTGATAAGCATTATAGTTTTGGAGTTTTCAGTGTGTGCGGAAACTGTTAGAATAAAGAAAATTAGTTGTTGTATGGATTAAAAGAGACTGATGTATTATTCTTTTTAAGTACGAGACTAATCTCGTTCCATACTTCGTTGTTTTCCCTTATAAATACTTTTTTTAGGGATTGAATCTTTGATCATCCCTTAACTTTAAGTATATGAACCACTTATCATAGGTTAGCACTCGTAAATTTGATCAAATATGAGATTTTTTTTTTTTTTTTTTTTTTTTTTTTTTTTTTATTAGGAGGAGTTAGAAGATCTTTGATCATGCCCGTAATCGCGTTTTAAGTATAAGAACCACTTATCATGTCAGGTTGCACTCGTAAATTGAATCTAAGAGATGAGATTTATAGTATGTTTTTTGTTTTTTTTTTTTTATTGTTTTTGTTGTGTCTTGGAAAATATATTGTTCTTTGATCAAGAAAATAAGATTAATTCCAAATTTTTGTCACTTAAACTAAAAATATTAAACTCTGATAGAAATTATAGTTCTTAATTAAACAAGGCAGCTTTTGGTAATATAGTTACAAAAATGTTTCCTTGAATATGAAATATATTGACAGCAGCTTAGGATTGGCAAAGAATGATATTGTAAGGTTTGTATGTGCAAACATATAGCAAGAACCATAAAAGCTTCACATAAAAAAGATAAAAAGGTATCGCAGCTCAAGTATAGGAAGTGAAAGATTAGCATTCGTAGAGGAAGAGGGCTGCTGTTTATGCTTTGATCAGATGCTGTTGAAATGAAAGTCCAAAAGGAATTGAAAATAGATCAAAAGAGTCCAAAGACTGAATATCGCTCATATAGTAATTTCAATATGGCTCACTTTGTGCCCACATGGAAGCTGAGTAATACAGGATGTGAGTATGAGTCCGACGAAGGGAATATAAAATATTCGTTGATTTAGATTCATAATATAACAATAAGAGAAGAAATGTAAGATATTTGATGGTCGAATAAGGACATAAATAAAATTGAAGTTGAATTAATAAGAATAAATATTGTTCAAATCCAAATGTTCGAATTATAATGTCTGATAAATTTAATCAATTATTGGTTAGTTGTAATTGATTCTTTAAGATCGCAAGATAAGATAGGTAGTGACTTTTTTATAATTTTATGTTTTCTTGAATTTTCAAATAATTTTGATTATGTCAAATATAATTAAAAGGTTATTGTTTTGTAAAAAAATTGTACAACAAATTGTAGTTTAATAAAATCATTTTCGTGTCGTTTGGTGGCAAATTATAGAAAATTTAATTTGTATATTGCTCCCCTCATTCTTGATTCTACTCTACTTTTTAAAAGAACTGGCGACGGTGTAGATCAAGTGTTTGTTTTGAACTAATCGGAGGACCGGGGTCAACATAAAAAATAGGGCAACTGGGAAGTCGCGCCGCTTAATAAAACCGATCAAACCATATTTAAGCCGTAGCTCCCATTATCATGTTCGCTCTCCTTCCAGCGCGGCATCTGACTTGCGAATGCAGCAACCAGGTTACGTTCCATCTCTGCTCCCACTGCTGGCGGAGCATTTGGTCAAGAGCGATGCACTGGCTTCAGACCAAACCGACTTGCTGGTGGCTGCATGAGTTTTGCCTGTTGATTTTTTGGGTGGTATTGGAACAGTATTCAAAATTCCGCTTTGTGTGACTCTTGGGTGTGTTGTTTTATTTTTTTTTTCTATTTATATGATATACAATGCAAAAAATGAATCAAGATGGGTCTGTGTGTTCTAGGTTTTACTATGTTTGGATTGTTGGGTCTCTATTTATTCTGTGGCCTACATTTGCTGTTGTTGAGCAGATTGAAAGTTGGGCATTCATATTTCTATATAATTGTGGCTTATGAATGCATAAAGTGGCTGCGTTCTTGCCAAATCTGGTTTTACTTTTAAGGGACTTGGAGTGAAGATTATGATGTGAACGCTACGATTTGATAGAGTGCTCTTCTATTAATAAGATTAAATGATGGGAGGGTCAAATTAAATTTAGAGGTATTAGGTTGTTTTCTCTTGTGGCCTTTTAGGTTTTATGTGAAGCAGTCGCACTTTGGTTAGATTTTTTTTTTTATAATAACCCCAGGTTTTTATAATTTGTTTTATGGGGCAATTTTTTCTCTGCAGCAGTTATTGAACAATCCCTCTTCCATTATCGGTTGGAAGTAGAATAAGCTTCCAAGTTTGATAACTTATTGTTTAATCTTGGATTTTTGCCTGATGAAGATTTGACAATAGATGTAACCACTACGTTGGAAGAAGCATGCCGAAAAGGAAAACAAAAGTGATTGTTGCTGAGAGCCAAACTGAATTTTGAGGGAGTCCAGTTGCCTCAGGTTGGTTATTCAAGCTTATTTAAGCTCACAATGTTTTATGCAAAGAGTGGTTGTGAACTATTCCTTTGTCCTTTGCAGGCCCTGTTTGAATCTGCGCACATACGCAACCCCAGAAACTGAAAAGTGATTTAAAAGAAATCAAGTCTTCATAAATCGGCAGTGTAATGAAAATTAGAATTTGACTTTGCGATTTTCCAAATTTGAAAGTGTCTTGATATTTTGGTATTGAATTATTTGGGGTTGAACTGAGTGTTTTTCACTAAATGAAAACATTATAGATATAGTTTTTTGGCAGTCAAATGGATGTGCGTTCGTGGAAATGCGGAAAGCTGTATGTTATTTAAATGGTTCGCCTACAGATTGGAGGAAGGGCCTACGAGCGCAAAGATTCATCTTCGTGCTTGGTTAGAGAAAGTGGAAGAAAAAAAGTTCAGCGGAAAGGTAAACTTTTTATATTATGAAAAGGACGCGCGTGATAAGAGGGGATATCTTACTGAGACGACATATCGAGCTCATTCTGGTGTAGTTGATGAAATTATATTATTGATGAGGATAGCCCCTAGGGCAGTAAGGGCTAGAGGGGCGTTAGAAGGCGGCTGAGTACCACGGAGACGGATAAGCGTGATGAGAGGCAGAGAAGTGGGCGAGGAGTGGTGGCATACGCCCGTAAGAGTGTCTGATTGTCCTGCATGAACTTATAACCTTGTTGCTAGTTTAACAAAAAGCTTTGTGTAGAGAGTTTTGTTGTATTGATAAAGGGATACGGCTTCAAGATGCATATTATGTTTTGCATTAAATTTTGGCATTTGAACAGTAAATAAAATTTTGTCGCGAGTCATTGCGGATAGATCGCATTATGCACGTAAGTAGGTAAAGTGTCTGTGAGTGTATGCTACCAGTAGGTCCGTCTTAATATTTCCCGTCTGAACTCAGGTTATCATGTGTATTCATTACACTTAATTGTTTTTGCAAACGGTTGGTCCTCATTTGCCATACCACGGTAGGTGGAACGTTGGCGCCACACCGAAAGAAGGAGTTTGCTGCTACGTTGTCAGGAATAGGCGCATCCTGTCGTTCCGCGCCATAGAACACCTTACAAATTCTGTTGCAGTGATGGGCGCCGATGCTATGAGAAGGAATGTAGAGGTGTGATGTCAGCGGCATGGTAGATTTGGTTGTGGGAGAAAACGCATTCAGATACAGAAGCGATGGGGTCCAAAAATTAGTGGCAAGGGTAATTTGACCTTGGAGAGGAAAGCGAGCAGTGCATGTTTTTGGTGTCATTTCTCGTTGTACCAGATAGTTATGAGTAGTCTGTGTGACTCCATCTGAGACTGATACACGTCTATACTAATTTTTAACCTTGTTTTTTGTTAGATGTTTGCTTGGATCCCAAAGAGCGCAACAACACTGAGTACTAATTGGAGACATGTTTGCGCTGGAGTTTGACAGGGAAGCCTTACTGGAGAAAGAAGTGGTGGGTCGACTTTTTGATTTGTGCAGTCCTATGATACAGAGGCTCTGACATCTGGGTTGTGGCTGAGGAGGTTTTTTGTTCCACTGCTAGTGTCTCAGTAAGAGTTCTACTGAGATTTATCACGTCCGCTCAGATAGGAATACTGATTGTAAAATTGTTTTTTGAATTCTTAGAATTTCGGTTAGTCAATGTTGTGTTCGTTTAGTTTTGGCATGAGTTATGCGTACATAAAAGTCTGCGTGTATTGTGAGAGCTGCGACACTTGCTTCTCCGTCCCTAGTGAGCAAGCTTTAAATCCATTGGATCTTTGGCTGTAGAACTTGTTACCTCTTTCAAAAGGTTGTTTGGCTATTTGGGTTGTCTCTATTGAGATTCTGATACTGATTTTGTATACGGAATTTAGGTTTTGTCACCTAAGTGTTTTTTAAATTTGATGCTTGGCCTTTTTTTGTGTCGCGCTAGTGAAGGTAGAAAGGTCTAGAATGGAATTCCCTTGTTGGCTTGTCAAAAACGTTTTTCAAGGTTAGTGCAGGAGATTGTAGAATGGTTAATTTGCTTAGTGGTGAATGTGTAAAATGGTAATTTAACTGGAAGGGATGGAACTTGAAACAATGTGGTGGATTTTTAATCTTGGTTATTTCGATAAAAATAATAATAATATAAATGGATTAATGTTTATTAGTGTGGGCGCAACAGGTATTGAGTCAGTTTATGTATTTTCATTATGTCATTTGATTAATTATATGATCGGGAAACTAATGAAGTTTGGTTAGGCGATGAGGGTTGGTTTTTTCTAATTTGCTGTTTGTAATTTTGTTCACCTTAGGCTCTCAAAATTGTTTCTCATGTAGAAGGTTAACCCGTTAAACTTATAATGTATAATGGATGTGATGATAAGTTCCATTAAAACGTGAAAAAGATAACTAAATTTTATTAATTTAGAGTGTAATAAATGAATTTCCTCTTTCAGTTGTTCCATGATGAAGATGGGATCGTTGATTTTAAATTCATTTCCGACAAATGGGAATGCATTGATATCGTGGGAGGCAGAGAGGAAAGAAAATACCGGAAATGAATTTGTCTTTTTTAATTAAAAAAATAAGATACTAAGGATATCGTATTCCAAGTGTTGTAAGCTTGAAACCAGAAACTAAAAATCAAATTAATTGATTGTTCAACTTGGATTTCAGCCGCGCTAGAGAGCAGAGATTCATGATCAAAAGATTAGATATCTCTCCTAAATTCTGCTAAAATAAGAAGAAATGTGTGTACCTTGATTTACTACATACCTACCGCATATCAAAGATCAAGCTTCAAAAATTAATAAATCTTTAAAAAC